CTGTGGGCCAAGTCTGATTCCAATCTTTATACCTATGGCTTTCTACTTGGCAATCTAGACCTTTGTATTGTGATAAAACTCTGACGCAGCGACAATTTAAATTTTCCTCAGTTTCGAATTCATATTTCACTTTCATGAATTTCCAATTTGGAATCACGATTGCATTCCTATTAAGGGTCTTCTCTTGACTCTGAATGATCCCCATTATTTCCATCTCTATCTTAAAATGGTTTATTGTAATATTCTGGTTTATGGGGACATTTTTGCACTCAATATTATACTTTGGAAACTCCACACACGTAACTTTGGGCAACCCGTTTGCGCTCACGAAGTACTTTGATTCCTCCAGGTATGGGTATTTATAAACTATTAAGGTGCAGTTTCCAACATCTTCTTTGTGGTACGATCGACACTTAATGGAGCTCACTTTCAGTTGTGGGATTATTCGATATATTTTTTCAGCTGCCACTGATGATTTATTATCCTTATCCACACCGCAATAAAAAAGTTGAGGATCCGACCAAAAAAATTGAATTGCTTTTATTTTGGCAGTGAAATTGTCAACGATTTCAATTGGAGATGAAATAGAGGACTCTTTTACTGCGAATTGAATATCACTGCTCGTTGAGACGGAACCATTGCACTGGCAAAATACGTATTCACTGTATATAACCACAGCCTCATGCTCGGACCATATGCGACAGGACGATTCCTCGCCCCTGCACACAACTAGTATCGTCAGACTAAGGAAAGTCTTCAACCAAGCCATGATAAGCGAATCGTTTTTTTAGTAGAGGTACCGAATTTTTTTTTGAACCGTATGTCCCAAGCTGATCTTAGCAACTGAAGCTGAGCGATTCAAGTGATCGTAGAAAAAAGTTTTTATTGGTCATGAAAAACACCCTCATGAGCCATGTGACCTCAAAAGGGTCACATACTATACTTTATTTTATATTATATTATTTATGTTTTTATACCCTTGCAGAGGGTATTATAATTTTGGTCAAAAGTGTGCAACGCAGTGAAGAAGACATCTCCGACCCTATAAAGTATATATATTCTTGATCAGGATCACCTCCTGAGTTGATATGAGCATGTCCGTCTGTCCGTCTGTCTGTCCGTCTGTCTGTTTCTACGCGAACTAGTCTCTCAGTTTTAAAGCTATCGTCTTGAAACTTTGCACACACCCTTCTTGCACGCAGTATATAAGTCGGAACGGCCCGGATCGGCCAACTATATCCTATAGCTGCCTTTTAACTTTTGTGGTTTTAGAGTTAGAGTTAGTTCAAATTTGACATGAGAGCTATTTTTGGCAAAACATTACGTCATGCCAAATTTCATAAGGATCGGCCGACTATATCCTATAGCTGCCATATAACTGAATGATCGGAAATGACCCAACTTTCGTGTTTTTGAAGATAGAAAGCTGGAATTTAATACAGATTCTATTTTTGGTCAGTTAATCCAACCTACCAAATTTCATAAGGATCGGCCTAAATCCGATGTTTGCGATATATATCCGGTTTTAACTGCAAGGGTATATCAACTTCGGCTCCGCCCGATGTTAGCTTTCCTTTCTTGTTTTATATTATATTATTTATGTTTTTATATATTATATTTATGTTTCTTGAAAGAAATTTCGAAAATCAGTTTTAGAGCTACACCACATCAGTATTGTGCCAAAAAACGCGATAGGAATAGTTTCTTATCGCTAAGACATTTGGGAATAGACGCATGGTGTTTAAAAATAAAATAGGAATAGCTGGGAAACTGGGAGGGGCCAACCTTATAATAAGTAATAAAAGATACAAAAAAAAGTAATCAGAAATATGAGCAGTTTAGTAACCATCTAGAATCTAGCCTAGTTGTCAGAATCTGACCCTGACCCTTGGGAGTACCTGGGCACGGAGCGACCCATTTAAATTAATTTTACAGCAACAGGTGTGCGCCTGCTTCCCCGGCCAGTGTATGTCTCCGTATGCCTGTTGGCCCTGAAAATAAACAAATGGCCAACGAGATGAGACTCAAAGGGAAACATTAAACAAACGCTGCGAACATTCACTGACAACGACACGAACTGCCACACGGATAACAACATGGACATGGACCCGCTCAGACCAGGACGACAAGGACTTGGCCGTGTCGGTGAAGGAAGCAAGCTGCCAGGCCGGGAAACACAGGCTCCTACACAATTGTGGAGGGAGAGGGGGGTGGTTCCAGGGTCACCATTAAAGAGGACTAAATATAATGTTTCCCAAAAAAAAAAAATTTAATACGAGAAATCTTAATAGAACAGAGTATATCTCCTTAGAACTTAGCTTTTAATTAAATGTTCTGACAGATCTTAAAAAGAATTTAAGGAAAATATTAAAAGATCTGTAGTAGACTTTCTGAAGATGGGTTTCTGAATAAATTAAGTATTATTGATTTAACTTTTAATATCTTCAAAAAATGATAGAAAAACTTGCCGAAACCCACAACAAAAAAGATGATTTCCATTTCAATCAATTTCGGTTTCAGATTCGGAAACTCTGAGCTTGATTGGTTCACCTTTTTTTTTTTTGGCCATTCAGGTGTCAGGCCATATAAAGCCCCCTTAGTCAGAGCCCATTCAGAACAAATCGGACCACATATACCGCGTATCAGTTGACAATTTATCGGGGATTTTTTCCCGGGCGGGCTCTTTGGCCGCATTTGTTTTTGGGGCGATAGCTTAAGTTGCCTGAAACCGAGCACAGCTGTCATCATCTGTCTGATTAGCCGCGTTGGCAGGCAAAAAAATGTTTATAAATAAATGATAACAACAAAAATGGATGCCAAAATATCCGAGTCGGCGTCAAATTTATGTTAATAACAAGCAACAGGCCACCCGATAAGGTTGGTCCCTCATATCGCAGCCATAAAGCCGAATGACCCTACCACTAATATGGCCCAGAATTCCGGGTAATGCCTATGAACATAAAAATGAAAATTAATGGCCAGCTCCTATAGCCAAGAGCTTTAAAGGCTGGAATGCCAGGATCTGTATCGGTGTATCAGTGTGGCTCTGTGTGTTTGTGTATTCCTGTGGCCAATTAGGAGGACACACATCCTTGTGCACGCTCCCGGGGACTTTTAGAAACAGCAGCCTGCGGCATCAATTGAATGCAAACAAGGCGAGGCAACAGCAAGTTGTCTTGATTCCTTCCTCCAGGACGAAACTGGGTGAATAGCTGCTGACAAAGGACGTCGGCCAGGACGTCGACTTCGTTCGTAATCATCATCATCATGTGGCCTGGAGTTTCATGCACGACTGAATGGGTCAGCAGCTGAAATCATTTCTGAAAACGCTACCGGATACCCTTTTCCTTTTTTTCCCTTTCATTATCCTTTTTTTGTCCGTGTGTGGGTGTGTGTGTGAGGGTGGGGGTCCTCGTAATGCATCGCTGGATTCTCGCTGGCAAATCAAGCGGAAAGTCGCAGTGAAAGTTTGCTCAGCCCTTTAAATATGTTTAAGCCAAGAAATGGTGGGGAGGGTGGCATTCGGGCCCAGTTGACTTAACTCCTTCAGATTTTAAGCAGCTGTCGCATACGCTGCTGCCACGTGAAACATTTTCAAGTTTATGTATTTATTCTGGGCCCCCCATTTTTTTTCTCGTTCGTGACTTTTGCATTATTTACTCTCAAGAGGGACTTGACCCGATTCCTTTGTTCTTCAAATATAAAAATAAGAAAAATAATTAAAAAGGAAAGGGTGCTGGGAGCTGCGATCCTTAAAGTTTTAATTATTTATGTTTTAATCAGTCGCTCGAGTTAATTACTCAGAAGGATGCTTTAAGAGCCCTTCAGAAAACTGCAAGTTCGTCAAGTTTTTTGGCCGGGGAGTGGAAAGTGTCTCATGATGCACTTAAGTGCAATAGCGGATGAAAGGATAATTCGATTACGCAGCTTAGCGATGACAGGCGGGGACTCACTAATGAAGCATCCCTAAGTAGTGCGCTGTTGGCAGTATAAGTGGATTACAAAAACATTTTGATTGGCCCGCTGGCGGAGGTCTCTTCAGTTTTCCATCCCAACCAACGGCTTGGAAAACTCAATTTTGGGTGACCTGGCTTGGGGCCAACCTGGGAATTGAATTGCAACCGCTAGATAGGATCAATTAAGGCCTCGTTTGGTAAGCTCTGCCCCCAAACTTAAACAGAAAATGTTTACATTTATCAAAGCATTCCCATCGTTCGTTTATTTACATCAAGATGGTGAAATATACGTTCTTTTGAGATCAAACTGAGGGTGATGCAAGGACTGGGGAACCAAAAGAAATTCTATATTTTTAGATGCCGGAGATCTGGTGGTTCATGGGCACTTGGGGATCATAAGCAGCAATCGATGTAAACAAAGGGGTGTGGGCCGAGTGAATTATGAAATGGGGAATAAATTTCTTTATGTAATCCAATTCAAACCGAATCTGGCCACAATCTTTGCTGGGCTTTGGATATGTTTCCCCGCAATTTGTCGCTGTCAGTCTGGGATTGTCCACTATTAAATCCAAATCCAAATCCATATCGGAATCCGCATCCGAATGGGGATTCGTATGGCAGGCTGACCCAGTTTCCCAGAGAGACGCGTGAGGCACGTCCAAAAATAAAACGCAAAGTGAGATGTTGGCGGTGTGTTGAGGAATTCTATGTTTAATGGCCCCACTGGCAAAATGGGAAAAGAAATCTAAAAAAAATGAAATGAAAAATCACACAGCAAATTATGTTGCATGTTGTTACAAATACAATTCTGTAGCCCGCAGATGAGATTCGCTTTTCGTAGCTGTTCACTTTTATTTTCTTTTTTCGGTAGAGAAATACATACGCATTCATTATTTTTGGGTTATTTCTGTAAAATATTGGCCACTTCGCCGCACCCAACCGAATTGAATTATTTGAGAAATTTGTAATTTAGTTTTTAGCAAAAAATAGCATATATTTCATTTGCATTTGTTCTTTGTTTGCTTTTTCACAATTTATTTGCAGAGCACCCAAAAAGTAGTAGAAAAGTTAACAAAATCACACAACATCCTCCTCAAAGCTCAGACTATGAATTATGCAAGAAACCAAGAGAGCTGCCAAGTAGAGCAACTAGAACCACAGCACGAACTGCTTGATGCACAACATTAGACATCTCTAGACTTGGTCGAAAAATTCCATTTTGCACAAAAAAAATTAAATAAAAAAAAAGAGGAGGGAAAGGAGAAAGGAGAGCAGGACCAAGTTACACGAAATTTCCCAAAGGATAACAAAACTTGACCCGCCATGGTGGACGACATCTCACCGATGCATCATCGGATGCAGAAGAAGACCAGGAGTGCCTCCATCTGCGCCACGGGGGCCAGCATCGAGACGGTCATCCACAGTATGCCGGGTGCCTCCGGCAGTGCCACGCCCGAGGGCGGCACCCCCGGCTACCGTCGCCGCCGGCCGGCCACCCGCTCCCAAAGCGCTCGCATCACCTCCGGCGCCCGATCGGTAAGTAGACCATAGTTGCTCGGATTACGGGTCGTATGCGTAATGCTTGTTACGACACCACAGTCGGTGCAGTCATGCGATATAATTTTAGCAGTTTTTGCCTTTCGCCTGTCACTTTGCATATTTCACATATTGTGCCGCTTTCTCAGCGCGTTTTATTTATTTATAGTGTTCGTTACATGCACGTTTTCCATTCGAATTAAATATAGAATAAACAGCAACGTCATTTGCTATATTAGTTTGTGAAACAGATTATTTTATTGGATTTATAGTAAGTTAAGCCTTACTAGAACACAAAACCGATTTCATGGCAACTATAGGATATAGTCGACCGATCCTATTGAAATTTGGTATGTCGGATTACAAGACACAAAATATGTCGGAACTTCAAACTCTCCATTTTCAAAACACGAAAGTAGGGTCATTTCCGACAGTTCAGTTATATGCCACTTATAGGATATAGTCGCCTATAGGGTCCACAGTGATGGCCATACATCCGATTCCCAAGCGGAATACCTTAAACGATTTCTGGAACGATTCTCCACCATTCTACATCAAAATCCTGATACGAAATATTTTTTCGATTTTTTGTTCATTTTTCGTGATGGGATCCCTTGAAATGAGGAAACTGAGGTTTTCCCCTATAGGGCCCACAGTGATGGCTGTATCTTCCCCAATTCTTATCCGATTCTCAAGCGGAGTACCTTAAACGATTTCTGGAACGATTCTCCACCATTCTACATCAAAATCCTGAGACGAAATATTTTTTCAATTTTTTGTCCATTTTTCGTGATGGGATCCCTTGAAATGAGGAAACTGAGGTTTTCCCCTATAGGGCCCACAGTGATGGCTGTATCTTCCCCAATTCTTATCCGATTCTAAAGCGGAGTACCTTAAACGATTTGTGGATCGATTCTCCACAATTCTGCATCAAAATCCTGACACAAAATATTTTTTCAATTTTTTGTCCATTTTTCGTGATGGGATCCCTTGAAATGAGGAAACTGAGGTTTTCCCCTATAGGGCCCACAGTGATGGCTGTATCTTCCCCAATTCTTATCCGATTCTCAAACGGAGTACCTTAAACGATTTGTGGATCGATTCTCCACAATTCTGCATCAAAATCCTGACACAAAATATTTTTTTAATTTTTCGTCCATTTTTCGTGATGGGATCCCTTGAAAATGATGTTTTTCCCTATAGGGCCCACAGTGATGGCTGTATCTTCCCCAATTCTTATCCGATTCTCAAGCGGAGTACCTTAAACGATTTCTGGAACGATTCTCCACCATTCTACATCAAAATCCTGAGACGAAATATTTTTTCGATTTTTTGTCCATTTTTCCTGATGGGATCCCTTGAAAATGAGGAAAATGATGTTTTCCCCTATAGGGCCCACAGTGATGGCTGTATCTTCCCCAATTCTTATCCGATTCTCAAGCGGAGTACCTTAAACGATTTGTGGATCGATTCTCCACAATTCTGCATCAAAATCCTGACACAAAATATTTTTTTTAATTTTTCGTCCATTTTTCGTGATGGGATCCCTTGAAATGAGGAAACTGAGGTTTTCCCCTATAGGGCCCACAGTGATGGCTGTATCTTCCCCAATTCTTATCCGATTCTCAAGCGGAGTACCTTAAACGATTTGTGGAACGATTCTCCACCATTCTACATCAAAATCCTGAGACGAAATATTTTTTCAATTTTTTGTCCATTTTTCGTGATGGGATCCCTTGAAATGAGGAAACTGAGGTTTTCCCCTATAGGGCCCACAGTGATGGCTGTATCTTCCCCAATTCTTATCCGATTCTCAAGCGGAGTACCTTAAACGATTTCTGGAACGATTCTCCACCATTCTACATCAAAATCCTGAGACGAAATATTTTTTCAATTTTTTGTCCATTTTTCGTGATGGGATCCCTTGAAATGAGGAAACTGAGGTTTTCCCCTATAGGGCCCACAGTGATGGCTATATCTTCCCCAATTCTTATCCGATTCTCAAGCGGAGTACCTTAATCGATTTCTGGATCGATTCGCCACCATTCTGCATCAAAATCCTGAGACGAAATATTTTTTCGATTTTTTGTCCATTTTTCGTGATAGGATCCCTTGAAAATGAGGAAAATGATGTTTTCCCCTATAGGGTCCACAGTGATGGCTATATCTTCCCCAATTCTCATCAGATTCTCAGAGATCCCTTGAAAATAAGCTTTACCTCAGTATGGTACTTACAAATGTAAGTTAAGCACTGGACTAAAATTGAAACTATGACGTTAAGACTCTCACAATATGAAGTGCTTTTCAAATCTGAAGCGCTATCAAGGAAGCGCACTTCAACCTAAGTCGAAAGGGAAAATGCATACACTTCTCTTTCAACGATTATACAATTTAATGTGACTTAATTGGGAGTTGTGGGAAAACCAATAGTATTTGAGCAACAAGTAGTGTTCCAAAGCCTAGTCGACCCTCAACCTGTAGTTGGAGAGACTGAGAGCCCGGCGCAATTGGTCCGAGACATAGCGTTCGTGGATCTGCCGGTATGCGGAGTCCCCAGTCTGCAGTGAGGTCTTCGAGACTACCGCGGGATCATTCCGCAGCCTCAACTCGCTGACCACACTGCTGAATACCATTGACTCGTCGGGCTTCGAGGCAGAAGCACAGGATTCCGGCAGTTGGCTTGACATTTTGGCCACCCTTTGGGCACACCTCGACTTCTTGGCCAAGTTTTTGAAGTGGTCGAGCAGGTCCTTCTTCGGCTGGCAATCGTCCACCTTCTGCTCAATGCACTTGGGCGGAATCCTGAGGCACTTGCAGAAGCTCATGTTGTGCATGAAGTACTCGTCAAAGTCCTCGTTCGGTGCCAGCAAGTTCTTGTAGTGCTCCAGGGTCTTAATGTCCAGAGGGTCCAACAGCCGGGCGCCGCAATCCAGTTGCAAGTAGGCACTGTAGAAATAGTCGAATATCTCATCCACCAGTTCGATGAAAAACTTTATAGGCTTGTGGAAGGCATCGCCCATCACGAACGGAGTGTCCTCATTCAGGTTCACCTTGGCGCACTCCCGTCGAAAGGCCAGGACGAAGGGCCTCAGAGCCTGAATGGCCCATTTTTGGGTTTTATTGGAACCGTCTATAACCTTTCATTAAACATAAAAGTTATCACCAAATGTTAAAAATCGCTATAGCTCCTATACCTGATAGTGCATATGGTATTTGTTCAAAATCGCATCCTCCGTTTCTATCTCATATATCTGGGGACATGTGCAACTCGTGTCCACTTGCATGGCGATCATGTAGCGCTGGATGAGATGCCACAGGGTTTCGGCCGCGATCCGCTGCAGCTCCACCTCCTTCTTGTAGGTATCGAAGTACTCTCGAAAGTGTTCCTCAATGGTTAGGAGGAGTCGAAGCACCGTCTTCTCATGGGCATCGGAATCGGCCAGCTTGTTCAACGCGAACTTGGCCATACTCTCTGTGACGGTGCTCCGGGAAATGATGCTGTGACTCGCCATTATGTGCAGCAGTTGTGGCAACTCCGCCAATATGTCCACTTTGCCTGTCATTGTGACCACATAGGCTAAAAATGCAGAGGTCCTGAGTATTGAATAGTTTCTCAGTGTCTGCCATGGAATTTTGACATTTAAAGCAAAAAACCCCCTCCTTAAAAGATTTAATTTTAAATTCCATAATTCTGCAGTTCTTTAGTAATTTTTTGTCGACACTCACGTCTAGCCTTCCGTCCCTCGTCTGGATGTGGGAGATGTTGAAAGTCTTGCAGAACTCCGGCTTACTGATTCCTGTCAGCCAGCTCCATGTGTGAATTGAGTTATAACGTGGCCAAATTCAATTTTTATGGGCGGACGCCAGACAAAAGGCGCCCACCAGCCACGTGGCAGCATACGTTGCGTATCTGGTTCGTTCTGGCTCTCCTGATGGAGTCCTGCTGCTGCCGTGTAGTTGCTACTGGCTGATCCCCCTGTTTATACCCTTGCAAAGGGTATTATAACTCCATCTCGAAAAATGTCACACTCAATTGCAGTACTATTCAAAGTATCCATCCCATACGACATTATCCTATAACATATCCTGCCACCTAAGGGCGAGGGTATACTAACGTCGGCTCCCCCGAAGTGAGCTTTCCTTTCTGACTTTTTCGCGCTTTTCCGCCACTGCTTCGGATGCTTCTGATTCCGCTGGTGATGATGACAAGGACGAGGACGTTATTAGTAAGCAAACGAGGCAACAAAAAGCCACGAAGCTCCGTGCAACGCATCATGCTCGCCGGCACCGTGCTAAAAATGTCGCATCGTTCTCATCGTTTTCGATGCGCCCCGAGCTGGTAATTTATATAGAAAAAGTTTCCAAGTCAGCGGCACACATGCTTACCCTCACCAAAAGGGGCGTGGCTTTACGGGGGGCGGAAGGCGGGTCCGTAATGAGTTCACAGCCACAACAAAAAAGCAACCCGCCAAGGCAACAGCGAAATGACTTTTGTTTATGAACCCGCGGAGGGGGGCCCGCGGACGGTACAATCGACAGGAGCTAAGAAATAAACTTTGAGTGCTCACTGTACGACGTTGATGTCGATGTCGATAAGTCGCAGGCACTTACTTTTCATCCGCTGACGCAAAAGTTTAATGAGAAGCCGAACAACAGCCAGGGGAGCAGTGAATTCGCACTGAAACAGACAGACACACTTACTTGCCAGATGGAAAAGCAAAAATATCCCGAAAGACATACATAGACGTACATTGTAATGCTATTTTCGTTTTGTTTAGAATTCTATGAGCCAAAGTTGGGGCGTATTCTGGGCAAATAGTTGACAAAAACCAACAAATAGCTCCGCTCCGCCCAGACAGGCAGCAGCCACAAATAACCAAAAATATTTTGCATTTTCCCAGATGAAACTTTTAGGCCAAAAAGTGCACTGAGAGATAAAAGCTGCATATCTCTATCTTTTATGAAAGTATTTCCATGTTTTCCAATTAAAATTGTAAATCCATTACATTAAATCTTTTAGAGTAGTGCTATTTATTCCTTCTCTACAGATTTATTTTCAAGATATATTTACTTATTTATCATACATGATACAAAAGACTATAAAGTTTTTAAAAAACTATTAATATTCTTTTAAAGTGCACAGATTTTAGTCCAATAAAATATTCATTTTAAATAAACTTTATGCACAACACTTTTAATTGTATTTTGGTTTTTGTAATTCAAATAAAATAGTTATGCAAAAATAGTATTAAGAGGTCAGGACGATTCAAGATGTCTGTTTACTGACTGACTGACAACTTTCTGAATCCTCCATTGTTATATCCTTGCTGGTGGCCAAGTTAAACGGAGAACATTAAGAAAATAAATTATCAGCGCAGGACCCAAAGGACTAATTGGGGATTAAGCGGGAACAAATTGAAGACTTTGCCGGGGACAGACCGCCATGCCAGATCCCGGGGCACATCCCGTGGTCAATGAACTAAAGCCAGGAAGCAATTAATTTCCGTAGCGTAAAGGCGAGAGACCATCCGTCCGTCCATCCATCCCGTGCCGAAGTCCCTGCATCCGACGGACAGTTCCGATGTGTACGGGTGTACGAATATACGAGTGTCCAGCCGTAATATTTGATTAAGCCCGTAAAGTAGACCATGCAAACATTTGGCCAAGAAAGAAGAGCAATTACTGGTCACGAGAGCCCATGAAATTCCCGGATAGATGCACTCACACAAGTACATACATCCATACATATATGTTTATATATATAATGTATATATATTATATATATATATGTTTGTATCTATGTGTGTGTGTGTTTGAAGGACCGTAAAAAGCGCAAAAGAGAGGCCACTAAATAAACAAGAAGCGTTTACACTGACAGCTCGCCTAATGGCTCAGTCGCCACCTCCCCCTTCCAGCTACAGCCCCCCAGTCCACCGCTTTTTATGTCCGGCCGGATTTGGTGGCTTTACCAGCTGGCTGGCCCACACCCATAGTGGCCCAAATCCATGGCCACTTGACAGCCAACGCCACGTAGAAAACGCTTCCGGCGTGCCGCTTTCCAGCGATGAGCCAGCGATGATATGGAGGCAGTGGCGGGCTATCGGGGGTTCTCTAAAAAGAATATAATATAATATATTTAAACATGTATGTATATGGACCTGTTTTGACCTGAAAACTAGCATAAAATATTACTTGATTGCATGACCCCCTCTTAATGAGGACCAGAACTGCCTCTGTTTGTGGGCCAAGGAAAACGGAAGTGGCTAACAAAGTTTGACGTTTTGCATGCGGCTATAAATACCGCCCACACACTGGACCAAAGAAACTGAACAAGGAGCTTACATCGCCGGGACAGGTGCTGAAATTAGTTTTTCCCCAACGGCACCTCAACCGTCGTCAGCTGGTTTCCGCCCCCTTGTCCTGGGGTCCTTACGTCCTTTGTGTCCTTTCGTCCTTCTACTTGACGATCTGAGGCGAAACCCGGGGACCAGTCAGCTTGACAGGCACTTGGACATGGCTTGAAGGATTTGGGACACCAGTGCCATTGGCTGGACGGGGACTAGGACGTGGACTCCGACGTGGACGTGGACGTGAGCTGGAAAACTTTTGTGGCGGTTGAGACAAGCGGTGGTGCTGATTGCAGTTCGAGTGGCCCAGAGTCGAGGGCCGAGGGCCGAGGGCCGAGAGCCGTTTAACCTTGACATTTATGCGGAAATCCCTCGAGGTGCCTCCGATCTGCTGGAAGGGGCTGTGTGGCAGGCAAAGGGCCAGGATTCCGGTGGCAAGTGCCAACTTGGCCGATAAATTATGGCATTGGCAATGAGGCGGCGGGGGCTGTGTTGTTTTTTTTTTTTTTGTGCCCCACCAGATCCAAAGGACAAACAAGTGCAATTTGATTTGTGTGGCGGCTTGATTGCTCTACAAGCGAGAAATGCAATTTAATTTCTCACTCAATTGGCAAGGACAGATCCTGCGGCAGTCCATAAATCAAAGTGATTGCCTTGACAGATGACGGGGCTGGGGTTAAACTGTCGTCACTGAATAGTCTGGTTATATTTCTAATGGAAGTTCTTTTTTTTTGGTCCTCTGCAGGTTCGACAGCGCACCAAGGCGCAGCAGCAGCAGCAGCACACGCTCCAGGAAACACGCTCCTACTGCACCAGCGAGCCACGTCTGAGTGAAACGGAGACGCCTCCGCAGAGGCGCAAGCTCTCCCAAAGGAGACCCCAGCCACACGGTAAGGAAATAACCCAGAAGCTTATGGAAAAACAAGATAAATCTGGGGAATGATTGGAGGAAAAGCCAAAAAGCATATCTTTTTATGAGTATATTTAAGCTAAAAAGAGTTATCTGAGACCTGCCATCTAATTTATCAAACATGATTGCAAACTATTCATTTTTTAAAGCCCATTTAAAGTAGCCTTCTGGCCATATGCATATATTTTCCCATTAGATCGATTGATAGTTTTCTAAAATGCAATTATGAATCTATCATATAATTTATTTGGCAATAAAAGCTATTAAACATCAAAGCTCATAGATTATTCAACACCTTAAATGCCAAGTTTATTTTTAAAAGCCACCACATACATTTAAATGCCCTTATAGCTCAGTTTAGCCATAAATGGCGTTGAGCAATTTGTTGCTCTATTTTCTGTTTTGGGAACACCGCTGTTCACAAGTTAGTGGAAGTTGCAGGGCCCTGTAATGGCCCGTTTGAGCCATAAAACTGTGGAACAACGGCAACAAATTAGCCAAGTGCTGAGCCTGATCTTTTATGTGGCATAAACTAAGCTCTCAGCAAAATTGCTCGCCGCACGAGAGCAGCGGCGATGTAAAATCGACCGTAAATACTTTAGTGGCCAAAACAACAGGATGCCTCGCACCACTGGGCTTTAATGTGAGGTGTTGAAACAGAAAAAGCTGGCTCGATTCCAGCACTTGGCAGTTGCTGGTTTTATTTTTCGCTTTCGTCAAGTACTACTATCATCCGGTCGTCCTCTCCAATAATGTTGATTCAATTAACGACGATGCTGCCGTTGGGCGTTCATCGAACTTAACCATTGACCCAGTTAACTGGGTTTTAGCCACCAGCCACGTAACAATGCCACTGTCGGCCCAATGTGGCAACTGTCAGCCGGGCAACTGAAGGACGAAATACTGAATCAATAATGCAACGAACTGGGGAGAGAGTTTCAATGGATGTTGGCATAATGTAGTGTGATTTTCATAAAAAGTTTTGAAAGTTTAATTAAAATTTTAAAAGAATAATTCTAAAAATGCTAACCAAGTGCAATTGTTGCCTTCCTTTTTTCCCCTACAGGACATAGAAAGTCGAACGCCTTCCTGGACGTGCCCACCATGAACATGCATCATCTTCGAGTCAACGATGACGACGAGGATGTGGACCGACTGCGCACTTTCAGCGCCTCCAAAGGAGGTGAGTTTAGACTTGACTCGAGGAGTAATATCCTCCCAAGCAACCTTAACAAAGATCCCGTCGGACCATTTATTAATTTCGAAATTGAAAGTCAACAAAGGACCCGAGGGCCAGATGACTGGGATTACACATCTTAACAATGCGGGCACGGAGGCCAGGACACGGATTGTCAGGACACAGGGGCAGGGGTGTAGGGGGAGAGCGGTGTATGGAACAAGAGCTGGGATACATGATACACCAGAAGGCATAAAATTATAGTTTCGTCCCGGGGCACGGACACGCAACATACAGAAATCCTTATTGAAATCTTAAAAGGCTGTTACACAAAGATGTTAAGGAGATATCAGTGGCACTAAATGCCACTCTGCATAGAATATGAATACCCATCCGCATCCGCATCCGCATTCGCATTCGCATTCGCACTCGTATCCACATCCACATCCCCACTATATCCATATATTTATGCAAACACACTCAAATAACCACATAGCCCCGTGAAGTTTTCCCATTATGTGTGCGTTCCTTTTTTTTTTTTGCTTCCTTTATATTCTACATTTGTGTCACGTTATTGTTACACATACGCCCTGTGTGCTGGCCGGGTAGTACAGTGTGAGTCAGTTGTGTAAGGCGGTTAGTTGAAAGTTTAGCGTTTATCAGATTAAATCTTGTAACAAACTTGTAGCTTATAAAGGGAGCTTATAAAGTTTCTATATCAATTATCAAATTTAAGGGCAAGGTCTTGAAATAGTAGTATTATTTTATAATGTATTTATAGTAAAAACGCACCTCTCTACTCTTAAATAAAATAGATTTTACCTTATCTCCTATCACTTACTCACTGATTCAGTTTGAATGTCAGACCGTACACAAGTACGTGTTTAAGCCGAACCGTAATAGAGTACGGAACTAGGAACACGGAGCACTTGAGCTGACATGACAGAAAGTAGACGACAAGTCGGTGTATTAGCAGCAAGAGGTGTCATAACTTAGTCATGAAGAAGGTGGAGGCAGGTACATTTCGCACAAACTCCCCCAGTTCAGCGGCAAATGTATTCTATATCTGGTAGAAGTGTATGACTGGGGGAAACTATGCAACGGACAGGTACCCCATGTAGCCCGAATCTGCTGTCTGTGTCGTTTTGCCACAAGCGCCTGTGACATCAAAGAGTATCAAGGCCTGTCCCTGGGTTGGTGCCTTTTTTTCCTCCTCATCCGTATCCTCGGCCTCATCCTTTGGCCCGGGATGAGCACCCGACAGGGACACGTTCTCCAACGCACTGCATATTAAAATTCAATGAAGTGTCTGTGTTTGCTCAACTAAATTGCTTTCAAATACAAGCAGAATGGCATGTAGTTGCGGCATCTCGGATGTGGCAGCTCTGTTTTGTGGTTATGTCTCGTTCTTGGCCAAGTCATGTGCCGCCGTTTAATTAAACTTAATTCGGCCAAGATGCTACGGCATCAGCCCGCAAAAGGTACCAGAAGCCATCCATCAATTATGTTTACGGTTGGCACGAGTGGCGAAAACTTAAAACCGGCCCAGAAACAAGGTTGTGGGCGAAAAACTGACAGGTCGACATTGATTCGAGCATTCGGGGATTCGGGGAGCAGGTTGTGTGCCGGGAGTGTGGAATGAGTCCGGAGTGTGTGTGATTAATTGAAACGCCCAGGCGGGTGTCAGTCAGCGATGGCAGCCAATGAAGCGCCATGAATGAAATTTTCCCCAACATATATATGTATAAATTGGCCGCCAGCAGGAGCAAACAGAAGCATGCGGTTGCCTGATTGTCCTGCGGCCATAAATCGATCCATAATTGAATGATGCACCAGCCAGTCAATAAAATATTTGCATGTGTGCTTATTCCCAATTCAAAAAAGGAGATAAAACCCACCAGAAGTTTGGTATATTAAATATAAGCTGATGGACTTAACAAAACATAGTTTAGCTCTGAATTGGGAGCTTCAAAATACAAATATTTTGAAAAGGATGTGGTGTCAACACTTAATCAATGTTTGTGGATTATCAATATGCAAATGATACATTTGTGGGCTTAATCCTAAATAAATTAAAGGTAAAAATCATCATCTGAGGCTGGCTGAGAATATATCTTTCGCCAAAATGTTAGCTTGTCCAAAGGATTTTCTGGCTTAGAAACTTTTAAGTTAAATATTCCTCCAGTATTAGAGATTTGTTTGAATCAGTTAAAATAATTATTGTGTAATTTCTACAATAATTAAATGCAAAAATAACAATCCCCTAACCACATATAAACACTGTTGATACAGTTTCAGATTTTGTGATACATTACCCATATACCAACAGTTTTTGTGGCCTCGATTTTGATTTGTATTTTTAAAAAACGAACTGATTAAACGTAAACAAATAGCAAAAAACTCACCCAACCTTGGAGGCGGTTAATCATATCGCGAAAAGTTTTTCATTTCCCAGCAGCACATGCAAAGTATCTCGCCACACGCGCCGTTCTTTAAATCAATCAGCGAATAAAATTTTCAATTTATTTGCTCTAACAGTTATTCCTTAATCAAACAAACACCCTGCCGGCCCGGCACAAAAGAAAATCTTTTCAGCAAAAATGTGAAAAGACCGAGAGTGCTAAACCAACATCAAAGACAAGTGAAGGGGAAAACATTTGTTTGATGAATAAGTGGAAGCCAGAAAAAAAGAAACTGAAGCTGGCAGGATTTGTGGAAATTACTCCAACGATTAGTCAGTTTCAATTATAGACGAGTTGGTTAAAAATAACTATGAACATTGCACAAATATTTGAACGGAAGGTAAACTAGCTGGCTAGCTGGGTAGGTGGATTTTTATTGCCCGACCGTTTGCACCTTTTCAAATGAATTGTTTCCCACACGCGCTGGCCTCGTAATCCCCGATTTCGGGAAAAAAAGGGAAAATTTTAATATGTGAATATATGTATATCGTGTATCTGAACAGTATTCGGCCACCCAAAATGGTTTTATGGCTTTCCAATGATGAAACACCCAAGAAGGGGGGCTGTGGCAGGCCCCCCTCGGCTCGAAATGTAAATGTTTAGAACGGTTTTGGCAATTAAATCAATTTGCAGAAATTAATGACCGCAGATGAGAAACGAGCGAATGCTAACGCTGGCGAGAATCGAAACGAATCGAGAAATCTATGATGTACCAAGATCTATTTATATTGGGATATAGACTCCTCGTATATTTCGCGCGACGGCTGAATGCAATAAGGCAGGCCATAAATCTATTTATGACATTTAAAATGTACACAACATACTACACTTACATAAACTGACAGCCGAACAGAGCAAATCGGACAGTGCCAGACTGCAGATTGATATATATAATGGTATATATATATATATTTCTGTACATCCCCTTAACCCATTGCCTCTGGCCTAGGAGGGGGATTATAAATGACAGAACGGCCGGCCGCAGGTTGTTCAGAAGGCTCTTGACTCTGCGTAGTTCCATTGTTGGGTAATACCTTCTATTGGGACCGGGGAGGCAGATGGGCTGATTATTTCTAGATTTATTTGGGCTTTTGTTTGGTCAATCAACTCGTTATGGCTCGGGAAAGGCTACTAAATTATGTGAATGTTGCATAAATAATCCAAGCGACTACCTTAGCCGGGATTAAAGTCTCAGCACAAACATTTATTTATATTTCTTGCAACAATTATTAATTACATCTTTAAACGGTCTAGCACTTTTGGCTTTTGTCCAAGGAATTCCAGGAACAAGATCAGGGTTAAAGTAACCATTACGCCTGGTCCCAAATAAATTGCCATGTCTTCTTAATTGCTTTATTATAAAGAGCTTCCATAATGGCCCGGACATTGCGGATAAATATTCATGGCATATGTGCATTATTTTGTAAATATTTTCCATTTACTTAAATAAGCCACAGCGGCAGGAAACTCTTCTTAAATTTTAAATGAAAAATGGGAAAAATTTCTAACAAAAAAAGAGGATGGCGGGCTGGAGTCACAGATGCGAGACACAAAAGACAGATTAACTATTGTTGATGTTGCCCTTGCGGCAGGAAACTGTAATTTCTGCCGGCGCTACGTGGCGTATGCGCAACGTTGCACATACGCCCCGCGTGCCAGTGGCAGGTTGACTAACAAAAGCCGGCATGCACTTGGAATACCAAATTGCAAAAAATTGCCCCTTTTTTTGGAATTTTTTTCGTCATATTCTGCCATATGTTTCCTTCTTCTTTTTTTGTGGGCATTCAGGTATCATTAATCGCGGTGACTCGTTCCGACGCCGCCGGTCGCGCAGCAACAGTCTGGCCCCCTCCAGCCCCATGCATCCCCGCAGCGGAGTGGGCGGCCTGGGCGGGGGCGTGGGCGGCGGTAGCAGCCTGGGCCTCGGATCCGGCTACAACGGCGGCAGCAGCAACAACGGATTCGGATTCGGGAACACCAATGCCCAGGAGAGTCATCAGACGCCAGTGGAGTTCTTCCGCGTCGAGATGCTCGGATCGGCGGGAGTGGGCAAGCAGGCTCTGGTTTCACAATTCCGCACCTCGGACTGCATCAATGCCTACGATGGACCCGGTAAGTTGTTTCATATTCGTTTTATTATGTGATTCGATCAAAATAAGGACAATACGTAAAGTTTTTTGATAGCATTTTAAAGCATTTTGGTAGCCATAGCTCCACCAATTTATATCCGATCTTGGAATAGCATACCATTTTGTGATCAGGGCGGAGAGTAGCTCCATTTCTCATTCAAAATATGGCCTGATAATCGTTTTCAAATTTTTCGACTTTTTCCAAGGGGTACCCCTGTAAAATGTTCAGATTTCCAAACATCCCTGTTTCGCCCCTTCCGGTAGCCATAGCTCTGCCAATTTATATCCGATCTTGGAATAGCATACCATTTTGTGACCAGGGCGGAGAGTACCTCTATTTCTTATTCAAAATATGGCCTAAAAACAGTTTTCAAATTTTTCGACTTCTTCCAAGGGGTACCCCTGTTAAAACTTAAGATTTCCAAACATCCCTGTTTCGCCCCTTCCGGTAACCATAGCTCTGCCAATTTATATCCGATCTTGGAATAGCATACCATTTTGTGACCAGGGCGGAGAGTACCTCTATTTCTTATTCAAAATATGGCCTAAAAACAGTTTTTAAATTTTTCGACTTTTTCCAAGGGGTACCCCTGTTAAAACTTAAGATTTCCAAACATCCCTGTTTCGCCCCGTCCGGTAGCCATAGCTCTGCCAATTTATATCCGATCTTGGAATAGCATACCATTTTGTGATCAGGGTGGAGAGTACCTCCATTTCTCATTTAAAATATGGCCTGATAATTGTTTTCAAATTTTTTGACTTTTTCCAAGGGGTACCCCTGTAAAATGTTCAGATTTCCAAACATCCCTGTTTCGCCCCTTCCGGTAGCCATAGCTCTGCCAATTTATATCCGATCTTGGAATAGCATACCATTTTGTGATCAGGGCGGAGAGTACCTCTATTTCTTATTCAAAATATGGCCTAAAAACAGTTTTCAAATTTTTCGACTTTTTCCAAGGGGTACCCCTGTAAAATGTTCAGATTTCCAAACATCCCTGTTTCGCCCCTTCCGGTAGCCATAGCTCTGCCAATTTATATCCGATCTTGGAATAGCATACCATTTTGTGATCAGGGCGGAGAGTACCTCTATTTCTTATTCAAAATATGGCCTAAAAACAGTTTTCAAATTTTTCGACTTTTTCCAAGGGGTACCCCTGTTAAAACTTAAGATTTCCAAACATCCCTGTTTCGCCCCGTCCGGTAGCCATAGCTCTGCCAATTTATATCCGATCTTGGAATAGCATACCATTTTGTGATCAGGGCGGAGAGTACCTCTATTTCTTATTCAAAATATGGCCTAAAAACAGTTTTCAAATTTTTCGACTTTTTCCAAGGGGTACCCCTGTAAAATGTTCAGATTTCCAAACATCCCTGTTTCGCCCCTTCCGGTAGCCATAGCTCTGCCAATTTATATCCGATCTTGGAATAGCATACCATTTTGTGATCAGGGCGGAGAGTACCTCTATTTCTTATTCAAAATATGGCCTAAAAACAGTTTTCAAATTTTTCGACTTTTTCCAAGGGGTACCCCTGTAAAATGTTCAGATTTCCAAACATCCCTGTTTCGCCCCGTCCGGTAGCCATAGCTCTGCCAATTTATATCCGATCTTGGAATAGCATACCATTTTGTGATCAGGGCGGAGAGTACCTCTATTTCTTATTCAAAATATGGCCTAAAAACAGTTTTCAAATTTTTCGACTTTTTCCAAGGGGTACCCCTGTAAAATGTTCAGATTTCCAAACATCCCTGTTTCGCCCCGTCCGGTAACCATAGCTCTGCCAATTTATATCCGATCTTGGAATAGCATACCATTTTGTGATCAGGGCGGAGAGTACCTCTATTTCTTATTCAAAATATGGCCTAAAAACAGTTTTCAAATTTTTCGACTTTTTCCAAGGGGTACCCCTGTTAAAACTTAAGATTTCCAAACATCCCTGTTTCGCCCCGTCCGGTAGCCATAGCTCTGCCAATTTATATCCGATCTTGGAATAGCATACCATTTTGTGATCAGGGCGGAGAGTACCTCTATTTCTTATTCAAAATATGGCCTAAAAACAGGTTTTCAAATTTTTCGACTTTTTCCAAGGGGTACCCCTGTAAAATGTTCAGATTTCCAAACATCCCTGTTTCGCCCCTTCCGGTAGCCATAGCTCTGCCAATTTATATCCGATCTGGGAATAGCATACCATTTTGTGATCAGGGCGGAGAGTACCTCTATTTCTTATTCAAAATATGGCCTAAAAACAGTTTTCAAATTTTTCGACTTTTTCCAAGGGGTACCCCTGTTAAAACTTAAGATTTCCAAACATCCCTGTTTCGCCCCGTCCGGTAGCCATAGCTCTGCCAATTTATATCCGATCTTGGAATAGCATACCATTTTGTGATCAGGGCGGAGAGTACCTCTATTTCTTATTCAAAATATGGCCTAAAAACAGTTTTCAAATTTTTCGACTTTTTCCAAGGGGTACCCCTGTTAAAACTTAAGATTTCCAAACATCCCTGTTTCGCCCCGTCCGGTAGCCATAGCTCTGCCAATTTATATCCGATCTTGGAATAGCATACCATTTTGTGATCAGGGCGGAGAGTACCTCTATTTCTTATTCAAAATATGGCCTAAAAACAGGTTTTCAAATTTTTCGACTTTTTCCAAGGGGTACCCCTGTAAAATGTTCAGATTTCCAAACATCCCTGTTTCGCCCCGTCCGGTAGCCATAGCTCTGCCAATTTATATCCGATCTTGGAATAGCATACCATTTTGTGATCAGGACGGAGAGTACCTCTATTTCTTATTCAAAATATGGCCTAAAAACAGGTTTTCAAATTTTTCGACTTTTTCCAAGGGGTACCCCTGTAAAATGTTCAGATTTCCAAACATCCCTGTTTCGCCCCTTCCGGTAGCCATAGCTCTGCCAATTTATATCCGATCTGGGAATAGCATACCATTTTGTGATCAGGGCGGAGAGTACCTCTATTTCTTATTCAAAATATGGCCTAAAAACAGTTTTCAAATTTTTCGACTTTTTCCAAGGGGTACCCCTGTTAAAACTTAAGATTTCCAAACATCCCTGTTTCGCCCCGTCCGGTAGCCATAGCTCTGCCAATTTATATCCGATCTTGGAATAGCATACCATTTTGTGACCAGGGCGGAGAGTACCTCTATTTCTTATTCAAAATATGGCCTAAAAACAGTTTTCAAATTTTTCGACTTTTTCCAAGGGGTACCCCTGTTAAAACTTAAGATTTCCAAACATCCCTGTTTCGCCCCGTCCGGTAGCCATAGCTCTGCCAATTTATATCCGATCTTGGAATAGCATACCATTTTGTGACCAGGGCGGAGAGTACCTCTATTTCTTATTCAAAATATGGCCTAAAAACAGTTTTCAAATTTTTTCGACTTTTTCCAAGGGGTACCCCTGTTAAAACTTAAGATTTCCAAACATCCCTGTTTCGCCCCGTCCGGTAGCCATAGCTCTGCCAATTTATATCCGATCTTGGAATCCGATCAAATCGCATACCATTTTGTGATCAGGGTGGAGAGTACCTCCATTTCTCATTCAAAATATGGCCTGATAATCGTTTTCAAATTTTTCGACTTTTTCCAAGGGGTACCCCTGTAAAATGTTCAGATTTCCAAACATCCATGTTTCGCCCCTTCCGGTAGCCATACTGCTTGAGATTCTTATAATGTTTAAACACAAATCGTATCTTATATACATATTCGTATCTTAACTTAAAAGAGTTAAGAGCTGCTTTTCCTTTAAAATTAAATCAATTAAGCTTCTCATGTACATCCTTGAGTACCAAAAACGATTCAATCTTGTTCCAGAATGCGACGAGGCCGAGCAGAACATCTCAATCATCCTGAATGGCACCGAGTCGGAGCTGAAGTTCCTCACCGGGAACACGGAGAGCAAGGTAAATCATTTGTCAGGCTTCCAGTTGCCGCACACAAAGTAAAGTCCACATTCCTTGTTTGCCAGTTGTGTTTGTAATTGTCATTAAATATTTCACTATTAACTGGGCTGAAACCGCAAAGCAAGCAGGTCTTGACCGTGGCGATGGTGGGTCCTGGATGAAAGGTGGGCGACAGGAAGGACCGACTGTCAGGAAGACAAATGAGGTTGTCCGAACAGCCGGGCAGAGATTTGCCTTTGGGCCACGGGGAGTGATTTGCCAACTGGACGAGCATAAATTGCACAAAGTGAATTAATTACAGATGCAAAATGAGTTCGTTGAAACGCAGGTGGAGCGGTGAAGCGGTGGAGTCGGGAGTGGTGGAGGTGCGGAGCGAAAGTGAAGTGCCAGAGGTTACTACGTCTACCTGGTCTGGTGGAACAGTGCACCCACTCGGTCTCGTAAATTGCACAACAAAGACGGTGGGCAGGGGACGGGTGGAAAACTATGAAAACTTTCGGAAAAAGAAGGGGGAGGCGTTCTGCCAGCTGCGGTTAATTACGGCAAAGTGCACGGAATGCCGGAGGATGCCGGCTGCATTGAAATCATTTAAGGAATTCATTTAAAATCCTGTCAGACAGGCGGTGCCTGCAACTGTTGGGAAAAGTGATTTGCAACCGCTACCAGAAGCAAGTCGAAAAGAAAATGCACAGAAAGAAATAAATGGTTAAAAGCAGGGTCAATTGTTTTAAGGTTTTATGAGGCTAAATAGTAGGTGGTATTTTAATAAAATTTAAAAAAAGAGATACCGTCTATAGGTCAGTTTTACTCAACTCAACTATATGCTACTTCTCTGGGATAACAAAGAAGTATCGTTATAATAATTTAGGGATAATCATGCCTCATAAAAACTATAAGCTCTTAAAGAAAAAGCCGCTTAGATTCCAAATCCTAGCCCATTTCTTCCAGTGCATCAATATGTATTCAACAATTTAAGCCGCGCCGCTGTGCAGTCGAAATGCCAAATTGCTGGCCAAATGCCAAATGGCCAGCGGTCCAATACTTGCCGCCTGTTAGTTTGTTTCCCTTATTTTTATTTATTTTTTTTTTGTGGCAAACAATACAAATGAACACGATAATGATAATTATAATCGCTGATGACGATAGCAATGATGATGGCGATGGCGATTGTGATGACGACGATGACGACGGCAATGGCGAGGACAAACAAAAGGAAATGGCAACAATTTATCCATTCTGGAATGTGACAGAGGAATCAAGCGAATTAAAGCACTCGTGCATGGTTCCCCCAAAAAGTTGAGGGAAAAGCAAATAATAAATTGCTCGAGAACTGACCTTAAACCTTGGGCCAAGGCACACCAGCCAGCACACCTTGGAGCCAAAGTGCCAAATTTACAAACGCCGGATGTGCCCAGCGTGGCTTTATGAGCCACGAATCGGAAGCCAACACCCTGGGCAGAAAGCCAACGTGCCAACGTCACTCAGGACAAAGTGAATTGGTCAGAAGAAAGGACACTTCATATACCCTAAGGATATCCAGCTGAGAGACATTCATACATAACTTATTTCCATAAAAACAATTTTCTTGATGAAGTTTATAAACTTTTATATTTTTTCGATGGAAAATGTTATTCCTAAATAAGCTCTGTTTTATAGACATAAAAATGGTCTTTTTTGTAAGTCCAGTCTTTAAGATGAACATGTCCTAAAGAAGTCCTAAAAGAACTTGAAACCCGAGTCTTCATCTTTCATATTCTTTAAAAATAAACCAACTCATAAGTTGAAGAGATATCTTATCATAAAGAAAGATATTTGAAAATATGAGCAAGTACAAAAGAGAAACTTTCTTTTCAAAAGAAAGAATTCAACTAAGAAATAGAAAACATTGCGAAAATAATTCTCATTTCAATGCTAATCAAGTAGAAGGAGAAAGTTTCACCTTTAAGCAAAATTCAAAGGACCTGGCCGGCGAATTGAGCCGTCCCGCTGACCCGTTAATGTATGGGCCAGATAAATGAACATCATTAAAAGTCCGAGCAGGTCGGCAACTTTATTTTTTGCACTCGGCGCTCGCCTCGTTATTGCGATGCCAAGTGGCCATAATTTTAATTTTTACGAGCATAAAATGCAAAAGTACCAAACAAAAGGAAGCCGGGGAGTGGGCTGGATGCTCGCTCCGCGCCTGCACTCGAGGATGGGGCGCAGTTAAGAACTTTTAATTTCACCTCGACCAAATGCAATAAAACACGGCATTAAATATTTTCAGCAGTCACGAAACTGGGCAGAAACTGCCCCACCCCCTTAGAATGTTGTAAACTTGTTGAGTTTCGTGTTTCAAGTCTTAACTTTTGGTTTTATTTTTGTACTTTTTTGCAGGACGAACTGGAGCAGGCGGATGCGTTTCTAGTGGTCTACTCCTGCATTGACAAGGAGTCCTTCACGAGGGCCAAGCAGATTCTATCGCGGCTGCAGGACATGGACCTCCTGCGCCACCGCCCCACCATCCTGGTGGCCAACAAAATTGATTTGGCCCGCTCACGCGCCGTCTCCGCCCAGGGTGAGTATGGCAATTAGCCATTAGCCGGTGTTCGGCCTGTGGGTTGCATTTGCATTTCCATTTGCATCTCCAATTAAATGTCGTGACCCGAAGCCCGTGACTCGCCATCGCTGATGTGGTCACCGTTTGGGCTTAAAGCCAAACATGACAGAAAACTAATGTTCTTTTCAAGATTTTGATTAGTACTACAAACTCTCCCCCTCTAGATGGCAAATGCCTGGCCTGCACCTTCGGAGCCAAGTTCATCGAGGTCTCCGTGGGCATAAATCACAACTGCGATGAGCTGCTGGCCGGCACGCTCACCCAGATCCGGCTGAAGAAGGACCAGAACCAACTGCAGGTAAGCCAAGGACCCTCCCAGGAGGTGGTACGACCACCCTAACCCATTGATGGATAGCCTTCCTAGGACCCACTTGCAGATAGCTGGTTAGCTAGTTGTCGCTCCTCTATCCACTCTATCCACTCTCTTAGATACTTTTTGGTGTGTAATCATTGTAATCGATCGCTTTCGCAGCTGAATCCGAAAAAGTCTAAAGACAAAACCAAATTTAGAGAAAACAAGAACGTAGAGACTGTAGAAACTGAAAAATGTCTGACTGATCTTAAAACTGGCGATGGGGTAAGTAGAACAGAACGTACTCCCCACCTCCAAAGAACCACCTCCCCTTCGGACTGAAAACTAATCGATGTTTGATGTGTTTTGTGCTTTCGACCCCCAACTCTCCCACAACTAAGAACAGCATGATAATGTCCGGGTAGTGCTTGTTTATTACACACAGTGTATATATACTATATACTATATAGACCCCGCCCCTGTCTTGATCTCCTGCCAAGACGAGTTCTGCAAACTTGCCAACAAGGAAATGTGTCAAGTGTCCAACTATTTTGGAGAAAACTGCCAAACTGTTCTGCCTTTGTGCCCTGTGTTTGTTTGTTGTTGTTGTTCCCCATCCTATGCCCACTCTCTATTCATTCCCGGACCCGGGTCCTCCGCCATCGCACAAAGGACATGAAAAATGCAAACTTCAATTGGCACCCGAAATGGAATAACTATATTGCAGGGTCATAAAAATGCTCCGCCAACCGAATGTAAATAAACCAAATCCTTCCGTAGTCTATAAGTTATTTTTCCCCCCATTCCCTGCTGAGATTAAGTCTGCAAATTGGATTTAAAACTGACTATCTTTAACCGGGATGATTGCAGGGCCCGAGGGATGCCAACTCGCCGGCCCACTGGTACAAGAGCCGGAGTGTGATGCTGGCCAGCATGAAGGCCCGCCAGATGCTCACCTGGATCCTGGGCAAGGAGGACTCCAAGTTCAAGCACTGCGAAAATCTCCAGGTGCTATAAGCTATTAGCATGCATGCATAGAGATATGTGGAGCAGAAAAGCTTTATATTTAAGTGCTACCAGATGGGCTCATCCAATATGTAAACAGGTTTCGAACGGTTCGAAGCTCTTCTAAACAAAACGGCCATCCTTCCCCCAACTACAATGTGTGTGTTTGTGTGTGGTAATAACTAAAAGCTATAGCAAACAGCAACCATTAGTAATGTGTAATGTGTAAGCCTGATAATCAAAAATTAAATCAAATTTAATGTAAAACATAAAATGTGGAGTGTCAGAAGCTGGGAGAGACTACTGATGTGCAGCAGCAACTTAAGGAACCAAGCGAAACGAGCAAAACCAAAAACCTACTGTACTTACTAATCTAAGCAGAGTAAAATTCTACTTATGTACTTAACTAGTTACTTTAGAAACTACTTTTCTAACCATAAGCCAGGGAGGGACGTGTGTGTGTTTGCTATTAGAGGGAATATTTTTCATAAGCTGGACAGCAGTTTAACTATTTACAACTAAATGAACAAGATGGGCCAAAAGTTGTTCCCAGTCTAAACAAAGCAAAACCAAAACTTTACATATATAAATACCCAAGGGCAAACGATTTTTGTATAGGATTTATAGCATATATCTGTGTGTGTGAAATTTATAAGTAATATTTGGTTATTTTCTGTTCTACAGCTTAGGGGAGTCTTACAGGGTCTTTATTCAAAAGTTAGTTAGAAGGAAAGCCTGGCCGAAAGATTGAGATTGGATCCATACCCGTCATACATCACATATTTATATTTAGAATTCAAAATATTCTTTGTGTCTTCCTTAGTGAAATATTTATATAGTACGTGTGTATGTGTGTGTGTCTATATAGAAATATATATATATATTAGGGATCCTCATCCTTCCAAGTGCAATGCAAGGAATTAGCCTGTCATCCACGAATGGCAATCATTAAAGTGCTCAAGGTGGAAGAACATGGAATACCAAACCCATTACAATAATTTCGTTATATAGATCGATGTGTAAATATGCTTAATCACATGTGGACATTGTTTCTACAAAACTTGTACTATAAATTACAATAATGTAATAAAATATTTAAATGTTTAACAATATAAATTATGAGTCTTAAATCTAAATGAAATTTGTGAGGAATGTGGCGGTTTTGATGGCTTATATCTAGGTTTTCATAATTATACTGTTAGCCAAACTGCTGCTGTGGATTTTTGGCCTTTATCACCTGGGAACGGTACCGGAAAAGTGGACGGAATACGTTAATCTCCGCCAGCTCCATATCATCGGCAGCCTCTTCGTAGGCCAGTTCCTCGAGAGCTCTTCTGAACCGGCTTAGGCTTCTTTCATACACATATAGATTCTCCAGAGCCTCACTGGATCTCAAAGATATAGTATCAGTGTCACTAATTGCACTGGCTCTTTCCATTTCTTCCGCGGAGGTAAGTCTTTCTTTTGGAAAAGCGAATGCCAAACCAAATACAGCAAAGAATGCCACAATTTGGACGGTAAACTATTATTTAAATTAAAATTATTAGAACTAGCAATCAACGGTGACTAACAGCCATTAGCTTACCTGTTTTAACTGCATTTTATGGGGATTATTTGTTATCAAGCAGTCGTTGTTTTTAGCCAGACTTCAGGTTACCAAGTGTGCCTCCAATTTGCTGGCTTGGCCATTTATACATTGAGGGGATACTGTTTGTGCCTGCCGTGATTAGCACTTGGAATTGTTCTTATTTCTCGCCTCGATTTTCACAAGTCGGCAAAGAGCCGATAGAGGAAATTAGCATTTGGGTGTTGAAAACCTGGCCATTTTCCGCTCTCAGTTGGATCTGATTTGAAAGCCAGGTCATGTGCAACCGGCAGCTGTGTTTCCCGGAGCTGGTTATTTGTCAATAGATTGCATAGTGAGTAATGTTTATTTGAATACCTGGTCGCGTGTAAAATAGTTGACAATTAACTCGTGTTCTTCGAAAAAAGGTAAATAAGATGGTTATATCAGAAATGAGATCAAACAACAAAGTCTTGTTTATTCAACTTGTAATTACAACAAACTTAATTTTGATAGAGCTTAAAAACAACATCTTTCTAAAATAGTAAAAAGTTATCTATTTTTTAAATTTCAAATTAAAATCAGTTACTGTTATCGATAAAAACGGCATTGCCAACACAAACTACGCAACTAGATGGCGCTGTAAGCCAAACCAGAATTTGGGTATATTTAGAGCCCCTTACTCTGGTCACACTGAATGCATACGTTTTGCGTTTGTCTTTTGTTATTTATTACTGTGCTATGTTTACCAGCTGTTTAGTGTTTGTTCAACGGTAATAATGCCTAATACTTGTTTGTTATCAATGTCGCATTGTCGCTCCGAAGGCTGTCTGTCAGATTCCGTATAAATTCCATGTTCGTGGGCGTCAACAAACAAAGTGAAAAATAACCGCCGCATATCGACTTTGGGATACTCTTTCGGGTTGAAACTTTTCCGTGGTGTTATCTTTGAAAAGATAAATCTCTGCAGTTGCGTTCGGGTTAAGTAACTGCCAGCTTGAGATAAACTTATTTCTTATCACCAAGTGGGAGGAAAACACGTCTATCAAAGTTGGAAAATTTCGCCAACACAGCAGAATAGAGACCGAGCGGAAACGCAGTTTATAGCTGCGATACGGAGTTTGAACAAAAAAACCGACAACGTAAACAATTAACTACACCACATTTATAAATGAGATACATGTATGTATGTATGTATATGTGTATCTGCGATAAGGGCATAAGCACACTCATTGAACTGAAACATAATTCCGCGACTTCACCGAAAACCGCGACCCACTACCCAAAGCTGCTTAGCCACTCTACCTCTACCTGGCAGTGCGAATGTATCTGTATCTGTACCTGAGTCACCTCCCGAAACGCACCCTTCGCCTCAGAACCACCTCAGCACCTGTTGATCAACCGGCCTTTGTTCTTGCAGGTAGTTAGTTAGCTTTCGGCAGCCAAACAGCCACCACGGACGTCGACGGGGACGGGAACAGCTTGCACGGCTTCCACTTGCGATCCCAGCTCCTCCTACGCCTGGGCCAGTCGTCGATGAGAGAGAGAGCTCCCCGGGGAGCGGCCAGAACGCGAAAGATGAGCAACAACTACAATGATGTGCCCCTGGGCATCCGGCTGGTGCAGCGGCTCTCGCGCCACTGCTGCACCCGTTTCCATGCCCGCCGTGATTTGCTGTGAGTATGGTCCTCCAAAACACCCTAGAAACTGAATAAACGGGGGTTTCCCCAAACAGCTAAAGCCATTAAGTCCATGACTTATTCTGGTTTATTGATAAATAACTAATAGCTTATCTAATACTCTTCCAGCTACAAAATGTCCGTGTTCGTTCTAACCTTCTTGGCGTATGCCTGCTATCATATGTCCCGCAAGCCCATATCTGTTGTCAAATCGGTGCTACAAGGGAACTGTTCCACCATTCAGGTGGCCAAAGGCCAGGAGTGTGGCTACGCTCCTTTTGGTAAGATGGCTCTCAACTCTTAATGAAGTATAGTGATTGTAATCCTCTGTATCTCCCCTCAGATGGACCCGATGCCACCACCCTGTTTGGCATGCTGGATTCAGCCTTCCTCTTCACCTACGCCATTGCCATGTTCGGCTCGGGATTCGTGGCTGAGCGGGTTTCCCTGCGCTACTTCCTGTCCATGGGAATGATCCTAACCGGAGTGTTCACCTACATGTTTGGTGTCGCCAGCACCTCAAACGTACACAGCCTGTGGTACTTCATTGCCGCCCAAATCGGAGCCGGCATCTTCCAGACCACCGGATGGCCGGGTGTTGTGGCGCTGGTGGGTCGTTGGTTTGGAAAGTCCAAGCGAGGCCTAATCTTCGGCATTTGGAACAGTCATACGTCGATTGGAAACATACTGGGAACCCTGATCGCGGCGCACTACGTGGAAAGCGACTGGGCACTCTCGTTCGTAGTGCCCGGCATCATCATTGCTGCCGTGGGCTTCCTGCTCTTCCTTTTCCTGGTGGACCAGCCGGAGATCGTTGGCATTTATCCGGAGGCGGGACAGCATGAGCGCCGCGTGGCCAACGAGTCGGACGAGGAGCACGACGACGAGGAACAGGTGCGCCACCAAGATGCGGTAAGTATCGGTGCCAGTTCTCAATCCCGGCACTCTTAGCTTCTGCCTCCGCGCCCCCCTTCTTTGCAATTTTAATCCCCAAATAATCCTCGCATTTTCCCGGCCGTAGTGTGTGGTCAGTACGGGGCACGGCTACTCACAAATCGTAAGTGCTATCATATCTGTTTGGTTTTGGAGGTTGCTGTCCAGTCCCTGCTTTTGTAATATTCGCGCTTCCACACCTGCCCCTGGGTTTTGGAAAGAAAATCTCACTTGTTTCTTTTCCTACAGGAGATCAACTACCGATCACCGCCCACCGAGCGCACTCCCATCCTGGCCCGTCCCCAACAGCCGAGTCACACCCGCGGTCGGGGCCGGCCAATCAGCCTGACAGATGCCCTCTACATACCCGGCGTGGTGGAGTTCTCCCTCTGCCTTTTCTTCACCAAACTGGTCAGCTACACCTTCATGTACTGGCTGCCGTTGTACATTCAGTCTTCCAGTGAGTAGTGAATGAGCTTCAAGCCTTGGATTATTATAATCCTATAACCATTTTTTATGCAGGCACACTGGGACCTGAACTCTCGGCGGATTTGTCCACCCTCTTCGACGTGGGAGGCATTCTGGGGGCCATTGCTGCGGGATATCTGTCCGACGTGAGTGGAATGTCGGCCACCGTTTGTACGGGCATGCTGTTCATAGCCTCTCCCATTGTAAGTACCCCCGGTATTGAGCAGATAATTCGTGATACTGACGCACGTTTGTGTTTTCCCAGCTGCTGCTCTACCAACAGTACGGAGCATTGTCGGTGACGTTCAGCGTGGTGCTACTGATTGTGGTCGGCATCTTTGTGAATGGGCCCTACGCCCTGATTACAACATCGGTGAGCGCGGAACTGGGCCAGCACAGCTCTCTGGAGGGTAATTCCCACGCCCTGGCCACCGTCACGGCAATAATCGATGGCACGGGATCGATTGGAGCTGCTGTGGGTCCCCTGCTGGCCGGTCTCATCTCCTCCACAGGGTGGCAGAACGTCTTCCACATGCTCATCGTGGCTGACATCATTGCCATGGTGCTTCTGGGCCGGCTGGTCGTCAAGGAGTGCGCCTCCCTGCGCCGATCCTCGCATCGGATTCGGATTGAATAGCAGGACGCCGAAGTGGCTACGCCCGTTGACACGGATGTGGTTTGACCCTATTTATTCTTTTATTAACTCTTCGTTCTGTGTACATAGCATGGTATTTGTATAGCCCTCGTACATATAGAGGCCGTTTGTGTTTCCATTCGAGAGCATATCAGAGAGTGGTTCTGATCCTAGTTTTAAACGATAGCAACATCAGCACCTGACGTTATTTTTTAATGGAATGTTTACCATCATCCTAGGCTATCTAACCATCGAGTTTACAGTTTTTGATATATTACCTACATAAATATAGACACCTATATATATTTTGTAATCCTGTGTGAGCGCGCGTGTGTCCAGAGTCTCCTCGTTTTAAGTGCCGAACTATCATTAGTTATAGCGTAACTCTACTGCTATGTAAATACACTTTATCGTACACTTTTGGTACCAAATAAAATCGGATTTGGCTGCCCCGTTCCCGGCAGTCCTGTTTCTGACTCCGTTTCCTTTTCCTGGGTGGGCGGGGAGGAGTGCCTCATTCCGCAAGGCTTTCGTTGGATGACGAGTCGGAATCCCTTCCGTTTCGTCGCCTGAAACTTTCAGCAGCTATCTTCTTGAGGAAATGTACGGTGGCGGCGTCATTCTGGTTGACCAGCTTCGACAGGAGACCGTCCTTGCGCTGCAGGAGTGTGTGGGGTGCTCCGAACTCCACGATCCGCCCGGCATCCATCACCAGGACGCTGTCGTTGTCCATCACCGTGTGCAGCCTGTGAGCAATGGTGAGGACTGTGCATTCGGCGAACTTGGTTTGAATGGTTTCCTGGATCAGGATATCAGTTCTGGAAAGGAATACCAGTTAGCTTAACCAAGTTGTGGATACAACAAGACACCAACTCACTCTGTGTCCACGTTAGCAGTGGCTTCGTCCATTACCAGAACCCGATTCTGGCGCAGAATGGCCCGGGCGAGGCACACCAGTTGCCTCTGGCCCATGCTGAAGTTGGAGCCCCCGTCCTGCAGATGACACGACAGCCCTCCCTCCAGACTGGCCACATGCTTCTTCAGCTTCACATCCTCCAGAGCACTCCACAGGGACTCATCGCTCTTTTCGAAAAAGGGATCCAGGTTGAACCTTAGGGTTCCCGAAAAGAGCACCGGGTCCTGGGGTATAATTGAGATTCTGCTACGCAGGTCATGCAGACCCAGCTGGCCTATATCCTGGCCATCGATTTCGATGGTTCCTTCGTTGAGAGCCAGGCGGAAAAGCGCCTGGATGATTGAGGACTTGCCGGCACCAGTGCGACCCACAATGCCAATCTTCTCCATTGGCTGGGACTCGAAATTCAAGCCCCTGAGAATAAGCGCGTCCCCTGGAGCGTAACGCATGCGAAGATCCCGGAAACGAAGATGCCCTGCTTGTGGCCAGTCCGCAGACAGCTTGACACTCTTGGGACTCTCCAGCGGCGGCTCCGATGGCATCTGGGCGTACTCCAGAACCCGCTCCACGCTGGTCATGTTGTTCTCCATCTCCGCCGTCTGGCGCATGCCCCACTGGCACATTATCACCAAGGTCATGGACTGGGTGATGGCCAGACCCACGTCACCGCTGTAGAAGCTCTGGTCGATCACCAGGAAGCTGAAGGTCACCGCCAGGATGTACACCACACAGATCAGATCCGTCCAAAAGGAAAAGGCCCGATTGGCGCTCACGTAGAGGAACAAGGCCGAGGAGTTGGTGTTCTGGTGGCCATGGAAGGTCTGCTCCAGCTGCGGCTCAGCATCCATGGAACGGATGGTGGTGTGGCCATGGAAGGTCTGGTTCGTGTGGGAGTAAATGGGACTCCGCGCTGTGGGAAAATGGGCCAATTAGTTGAATCCTTTCCAGAAGTATAAGAAACTTACTCAAGCTCTCAATCCTCTTCAGACTTCGACTGGCTCCAATGTACATAGCCCGGCAAAAGTAGAGTAGCACCACCATGACAGCAGCTGGGATGAGGAGCCAGTAGTTGGCAATGGCCACGATCACCAAAACTGCAACCACATCCACCAGGAACTATGGATAGAAAATAGGAAAATGAATTCTGAAAAGGACTGAAAAGGATCTCTCATAAATACCTGAAGGGAATCCATCATGGCCTGCGGCAAGGTCACGTCCACGTTCTGAATGTCACTGGAGAAACGGTTCAGGACTCTGCCCGAGGGATTGGCGTTGAAGAAGTACATCCAGGCACGAATGATGCCATGGTAGAGCTGGTCGTGCAACTTCAATGAGATGCGGAGGCACATGAAGAAGAAGCCGAAAGTCCGGAGCAGGAACAGCGCCAAGGTAAACAGCAGGAGCACCGAATAATAGATTACCATCCTTGTCCTGGTTGCCTCGTATTCATCTAGGGAATTATAGCCGCGCTCCTCCTCCCAGGTGGACCAGCGGGAGATGAAGATGTCCATCAGAGCCTGGCATCCGCGGGCAAACACGAACATGGACAGAACCAACCACACCAGGAGAGGCGCCCCCAGGGCACGGAAGTAAGCGTTGTAGGTGTCGTAGCTCACGGCTCCCTGGAGCTGCTGCTCGGCATTGGGGTCTTCACTTACGTCAACGGCTTCCTTCTGCTCCTCTCCCTTGCTCAGCTTAGAGGTCCTGTCCACCTGGCTGAGAACCCGCTTCACCTGCTGCTTGTCGGCTTCGATGGCCTCCAGATCCAGGGCTGCGTGATGAGTAATAACATCCTTCAGCTTCTCGTAGGTGCCCTGCTGGGTGATGGTTCCGCCCTCCAGGAGCAGCAGGTGATCCACACTCTTCAGAAGCTGCACATGGTGGGTGACCAGGATGCGCATTTTGCCAGCCAGCAGGCGGTGGAAGCACTTGTCCATCAGAAGCTTACCCACTTGGGCGTCCACCGCTGCCAGGGGATCGTCGAAGAGATAGATATCCGCTTGGCGATACACGGCTCTGGCCAAGGCTATCCTGGCCTTCTGGCCACCACTCAGACTGATTCCCCGCTCACCCACCACGGTGGCATCTCCGCGTGGCAGCAGCTCCAGATCCCTCTCCAGCTGGCAGGCATGAATCACGGCTCGGTAGCGATGCTCCTCGTAGGGCTCCACGAACAGGATGTTCTCCCGAATGCTTCCCTGGAAAACCCAAGGTTGCTGGGCGGCGTAGCTTATCCGGCCGTGGATCTCCACACGGCCCTGCATCAGCTCGATCTCGCCGAGAATGGCATGGAGTAGGGTGCTCTTGCCAGAGCCCACGTTGCCCACAATGCCGACAAACTCATCGGACTTGCTTTGAAAGGAGATTCCATTGATGTGCGGCTTTCGGGGATGCTTGATGCTCGGCTTGTCCCAGCTGGCGCTCACGTTCCGGAAGCTCAAGGACTTCACCTCGCTCTTGACGCAATGCAGACGCCCACTCACCGCCGGCTTGGGCTTCTCCGAGTCCAGTTGGAGGCCGGGATTGTCCCGGCAGCAGCCCTCCTCCTCTGGCTTCTCGACCTGCAGCAGGAACTCCACCACCCGGCGAGCACTCACCAGAGTCTGGGCCCAAGTGGTGATGGCCATTGGCCAATAGTGCAGCAGGGAGTCATTGAGTAAACTGTAGTACGACGAGAGGATAAACACCTTCTTGGAGGTCACCACATCGCCCACGTACACATAGGACACCAGGCTGAGGAAAAGCGAGATCTTGGAGATCATACTCGTGCACTGCAAGGCCGCATAGATGCTCATGGATCCCCGGATGGCCTTCACCTCCGACTGGCGCACCTTGGCGATCAACAGGCCGAAGGACTTCTCCCATGCATACATCTTAATCACCTGGATGGCGGTGATGATCTCGTTCATCAGCTTGACCCTTTCGTCGCGATGCTTCGCGGACTGGGAGCTGAAATGAGCTGCTGCTTTGGCGGCCCAGGCTTGGAGGGGAATCAAAACGATGATGAAGGCGATTCCGATGAGACTCGTCCAGCCCACCTGACGGTACATCAGGTAGCCAAAAATGCACGCCTCCACTGGTCCCTTCCAGAGATCGTGGAAGAAGTAAAAGGTGAGATCGAACTGCGAGAGGTCGATGGACATCACGGATATGGCCAGTGCTCCCAGACCTTCCCCGCTGCTGGCGGAGGCTCGCAGGCACTTCCGGTACACCAAGCCAGCGCAGGCCAACCTCACCCTGGTGCCCACCGCGAAGACATAGAACATGAACGGGTGGAACACCAAGGAGGTCACCAGAGAGCACAGGACAATGCCCATGGCGTACAGGTAGGCACTCTCCTTGGTCACTGTGGTCTGTCCATAGGCAAAGTAGGATATCAGGCCTCCCAAGAGTAAAGGTTGAAAGGAACTGGAAAATAAATCATAATTTAATTATTTTTTAATTAAAGATTTAATTATAATACTTACTGTATGGCCATCTCCAACAAGGAATACAACACACAAACGGGAACAAACTGCCATCCATAGACGCGAAAGATTAGGTTCATCAGACTGGGTTTCTTCTTTTTGGACTCCTTGTCCCAATGAGGCTGGAGGTCCTCGGTCAAGGACTCGCTGTCGAAGCTGGGCAGGTGCTCATACAGCTTGCTGGCATCCAACTGCTCCCGCCTGCCCTTGCGGAACACTCCGGTCATCCATCTAGAAGTCAAAGGAGTGATAAGTAAATCAATATCTTATCAATGGATCTCCTGGATGAAGGGAAGACTTAGGACTGTCAGATTCGGAAACCCGGACACATAATGCTACGTGACCCTCAACAGGCAATCAATGGCCAGATCGGAATCGCTATGGTGAAATAACGGTACACAACTCCATCCACTCCGTTTTTAATAGACCTCTTTCTAGGATTATTTTCAGATTAAAGTAATATCCACTTTGAGTGAAAACAAAACCATAATTCTGGAAGCACTGACTCCTGGATAACTCCATAATATCTTAATGAGGCACACAGTCTTTATGACTCCGATACGGTTTACGATGCCACTCCTGATATGGTCAGGAAACACTTTAACCTTATCGTAAGTCGTAAACGAGCAAATCAAGCGGATCCCTCGATCCCTGATTGAATGTGGTCAGGGTTCGAACTGAAACCTTCCGGTTTTTATGGTAAACACTAGATTACTTGTTTATTTTTAACTATTACACAAAAAAACAGAGTCATCACCACTCACAGGAACAGCCACTTCGAGATAATGTTGGCCTTGCTGAACGGATTCGGCTCGCGCCTCGAATTAGTTTGCTTGGAAGAGTCCATGGCTCTTCGGGCAGGTTGTTGGCGCGGCGCTTGACGGATTCAAAATGAGCCAAGACTGGCAGGTGGGGTTTCTTTTAACCGGGCCAGACGGACCGGTGACGTCGGCGGACTGTTTGCCCCTCGAGCCACCATCTTCTACGGCATTTTTGCACAAGGCACAACCGTATAGCCGCCGATAGCGAGTCCACAAACTCAGCACGCTTGCCGGCTCTTAACTCTCACTTGTCGGCCAACTTTTGATAGTGATACGAGGCTGTGATAGTGACTAAAACGTAATCGATTGAGCCATTAGCCCTGCACTTGACATGGCGGCCATTACTGCAGTTTGCACACCCCGAAATTTTTAAGTCTCTTAATTGGCGGCTGTAAATTCTGACCGGATTTCGGAGAGTTTTAGATTCCTTTGTTTTGGGTCTATGATAAAACACCACCACCAGATAGCCTGTGGCAGGGTTTTATGATCGGAGAACTCCGCACTGGTGCGACCTCAGTACTTATCTAATCAAGTACTCGCTACTTATTATGCTATTATTTTGGGAACAAGCGCTAAACTATGTGTTTGCCCAACAAGTTCATTGAACACCCAGATAGCGAAGAGTTATTCATTCATGAGTAAAGCTTTTATGGTCTTAAATTGCGAGAGATTGGAAAGAAAACATTAAAAACGCTTAGACTGGAAACATTTGAGCTTAAAAATATATGCCATTGTCGGTAGGGGTTAACCGGAATGCAAAATAACAAAATCTTTAGCGCCCGCAAAACAAATACTTTAAGTTACATTTAAATACAGAGAAATTTGCTATATAAAACTAGGGATTTAGGTACACGTTTCAAGGCAAGCTGTGCAGGTCGTGAAGGGTGTAGAGCTGCTCCGTCCGGTCGTAGTTGGCCCGCATGTGCTCCAGCATTGCCGGCAGATTCTCGGTGGCCATCTGGATATCGGTGCAGACTCGCTTCAGCAGCTCCCCTCTCGTGGGCATGGCATACATAGCCAGCCGAGCGCCCTTGCGGATGAGGAAGGAGTGATGCTTGCCCAGAGTCTCGTCATAGGCCGCTTTGCACACGTCCGAGGTCTTTTGGTCGTCCACCAAAGCCTGCACCCTATTGAGGAACTCGTAAACAAAGTCTAGATAAGGCAAACAAATTAATCAGCAAAAGTGGCAGGCTTCCGCTATGATACCATGACCCACCCAATCCGCGATGCAGACGCAGCAATGTCCGACTCCCGGACACGTAGCCTTTTTGGTTCAGCAACTGGGCCTCCTTCTCGTACTCCAGCATGGTCTTGAATGTCTCGAAGTTCTTTAGTCCGTCCGTATCCGAGGCCCTCAGCCCATAGAGGATGTCTATTTTGGATCGTACATCGCTGCTCACAAAGCTGAACACACTGCCCATCAGTTGGAAGAACCTGTGAAGCACCAAAACAAGGTAACAAATCCTCAGGGACAAAGGAGCTAAACTCACTTCATGATCTCCTCGTAGGCTGCCAGGTAGGCATCCAATTGGACGTCATCCTCTTCCAGGAGACTTGTCTCGAAGAGATTTGAGACCTTGACAATGTCAAAGCAATCTGAGGATTGCACTGTGACATTATTCGGCACCACTACTTCCGTTGCGCTCATTGTTTTTAGTTTCCTTCCTTTGTTGTTACCTTTTAATGGAAATTCTGCGCAAAAGCTTTAATCGATAACTCCAAACAGCTGAAAGTTTATCGATTATTCGACACCAAATTCAAAATTAAGTTCTTGGTTCTAGGTAAGTTTATATTATGAAATTTTATTTTTAAGAGCTGTTAAACATAGTTACACCCTAAGTATCTTAACCTAAGCCGACGAAAGATTGCCGCTTCCACTGCCAGCTCCCTTTTTCGTGGGCCTATATGCAATCACATATCTCTGAGCCACCGGTAGGGGTTCTGCGTAGCCGTTCATGTAGGAGGAGTCCTCGAAGAGCACCTCGTAGTCTTCCGTGGCAGTCTGGGGCAGGCGATGCACTATGGCCTTGTAGAAGCAAGTCGTCTGCGGGTACAGGGCCATGACAACTGTGTCTTTGGGAAACAGGGCATGCCCATCAGTCTCTGGATTAGCCCGCATCAGAGGCAAGGGTATGACTTTGCGTTTGCTCAGGACATGCCTGTCTTTTTGCTCTTCATCAATGTCGATGACGTCGTATTTGTTTTGGCGGTGAAGGAACTGGACCACCTCTGCCAAGATCCAGTTCTCCTCCTCGTCAATTCCTTTGGCCAAAGCGGCGACGTTGTCACCCACCTGTCGCAAAATAAATTAATTAACAAAAAACTTGTTGAGAAAAAGGGCAACTCACTTTAGCCACATAGTTTCCCTCGGCGGGTATGGCTCCACATAAAGCCGGAGCTCTTTCGCCAAGTTTTCCTACAAACAAGGGTAGGGTTTGGGCGGATAACTGGACCATTTTCATAAGAGCTCCCCGACGGATAGCCTCCTTATTGCCAGCATTACGAGCTGAGAAGATATAATAGTTTAAACCAGAGAGGATATGGCTTTAAATACGCACCTTGTATCCTTCTTTCATTGCGAATGTTGCGAATCTCGTGTATTTTGGCCAATGCGGCTCTGATTGTGGCTTCCTCTTGGGCTGCCTCCATTAAACTCGCCTTGAGCAAGGGTTTCACCTTCTGATTTGTGGCATGAAGGGAGCGCACAAGACTGCCCACCGAGTTCTCCGCCCGGCGACGCTCCTCGTCCACAACATGAATATGCTGTTGAATGTCCTTCAGGCGATCCTACAAATAATGTGTTATAACGAATTCTTTTTAAGCCTGAATTCTTTTTACCTGAATTTGTTGTGCCGCACTTTCTGCAGTTAGTGGCATTGTATTAAAATTAAAATTCTTTTTTTAACAAAAATTTGTTTACAATTTCCTGCAAAAGAAAACAATGGTCAAAACTATCGATAGAAAATAGGCTTTTCATCATCATCAGGTATTTTTTAGGCACATTTTTGTTTTATAGTTTTTATAGTTTTCAATTAAATGTTTCTAATTTATTAAATTATTAATATATCCTGCTTTGAAATTATAGAAATATATAGATTAAGCTTAATTATATTTACAAAATCTCTTCAGTTTTTAGCCTTTTTAGCTTCTTTCAGTATTTTTCAACACTGCCTCCTGCTTTGTATATTCGCATTGACTGGCAACTCTCTTTCTTTTTAACCTCTCGTTTCGGGCAAGGTACGGACGCTCCCCACGTGGCTTTTTATTTCGATTTTTTAAGCTTTTTCATATCTAAAATGACAAAAAAGCATTTGGAATGTCTTATTTGGGTACTAACGCAACATATTTTCTGTTTTCCATTTGGATGCACCACCTGATCGTTTGGAAATTCGTTCTGCCGCTGGAGTAGCTTAAAATGGCCAAGTCAAAGAACCACACAAATCACAACCAGAACAAGAAGGCGCACCGCAATGGAATCAAGCGCCCGATGCGCAAGCGTCACGAGTCCACCTTGGGAGTAAGTATAAAAATACGTCCTGGCATTCCAAAAACACTTGCTAAGATGGTTCTCCCTTCCTTCTAACCAGATGGACGTCAAGTTCTTGATCAACCAGCGTTATGCCCGCAAGGGAAACCTGTCCCGCGAGGAGTCCGTGAAGCGCTACAACGAGCGCATCGCCGCCCAGAAGGGAAAGACCGCTCCCGTTAAGTTGTAGATTGCTCCCATCTTTTAATAGTGGATAATTAAAGGACAATTCAATTTAACGAATGCCACAGCGTCTTTATTTAGTAGTAAATGCTCAGCACTTTGTGGAACGGGATGTGCTCCAGGTCAGCATTGTGCTGGCGTCTATAGTCCCACAGATATTGGTCGATCACGATCGAGTTTACATTATCCACGGAGATATCCGGGTGATTCTCCTTGAGGAGCTTCACTACTTCGTCCCTGACCCGTTCGATGATGTAAATGGAGGCTCCTCGAATCTCCACCTCGCGCGGATCGCCATTCTCGAGGATAGTGTCGGTTTTGAGGAACTCCAGAAGTTCCGGGGTGTACTCCAGGCTGCCAAAGAGCACTAGAACCTGAGGTACGCGGTAGTCCGCGAACATGGTGATCTTGTAAATATCATGGAAGTAGCCAAGACCCTTTCCTTGATAGCAACACCAAATATCGCCCACCAGGATCTGAGCCCGCTTGAGGATGGAGACTCGTTTGCCAGCGAACTCCGCCTGGTCCCTGAAGCAGGGGAACTCTTCCACAACCAGGTCCAGCAGTCGCACTGCTGATTTGTCAGCGGCCTTAATTACGTTTTCAAATCGTCCATCGTACTTGTTCAGTAGGACTTTTCCTACTTCGTGCAGGCAATCTACCCGCTTTTGGAGCAGGGGAATCTCGGTCACCCCGTCGTCGGAACGGAAGATGTCCTTCAGCGTCTTCAGATCGATCTCGGAATAGTATTTGGGGTTGGTTATATCCAGACCTTCGCTGATGGCTCTTTTGACAGCCGCGCACAAGGCAAAGTAGCCGGTATACCCGTTGACCTTGTATTTCGTGTAGTTATCTGTGGGATAAGCTTGAAAGATAAAGAGATACTATGATTAGTATGCTCATCTAACTTACCGGGCGTCCAAAAGCAAAAGTTTAGGGTATCCAGAACGAACACCCAATCGGCTGCTTTCACGTAGTCTTCCGGATGATTTGAGTCTGGATTGGGGTGCAGTTCATGCTGCGAGAAATTCTCTACGCTGAGCCGCTTCTCTTTCAGAGCTTTAAGGATTTCCTGAGTTAGCTTCTCAATGCCAGCTGGCAGGACACGCACATGCTTGGCATTCTCAACGATGTACTCGCCCGATTCTCTGGGTGTCAAGGCCATTCTCGCAGTATAAACAAAACTTTTATTTGATAAGTCTCTGAAATTGGCGCTGAAACAAGCGTTTGGTTTCAAAAAGTAATTTATTTCCCTTCGCGACTTTGGGGTTAGTGTTGGACAACGTGTTGTCCGTGTTAGACAACGCCTGAGAAAAAGTACCATTGGTCGAGGCAGTGTTCTAAAACGCGTGAATAAACAGTAATGGAACACACGTCCCTAGACCATCGCGAAAAATAATCTAAGCCATTATTTTCAGTTAAATGGCTTAACTCGAGCGCGAAAGTGGCAGCAATAGCTCGTTATATTTTATGTGTTTGAAAGTCAACGGTTTCCTTTAGGCGCCACCGGAGAAACCCCCTTAGTGGCGTACCGTCAAATAATCGTTTTCGCCAACAAATTCTTTAGTTTTCACGCGTGACACTGTGTTTTCGAGTAATACTTTGTTCCAAAACCAAAAATAACAGTTCCTTTTGTTACATTTTCGTTTCGAAAGCTCTTTGTGGCTGTGTTCAAGTATTTTATCGACGTTTCAGTTGGCACACCAAACCGTACAGCACATCACAGCCACACACACGCTTAAAGATACTCCGCAGACCGCACACAGATACAGAGGGGAGCCGCAGATACAGATACAGATACACGTGCGCTCAGCTGTGCTCAATGAACGCTGCTCAGCTGTAGTTTGTTTTCATTCGGCTCCTGGACCTGAGACCCAGATCCTGCTCGCAGATCTCCCGCCATCCGGAAGGGGCCCACGGATATATGCCCTTGGTCCGCTCAACAGGTGAGTGCCGTCCATCTGGATCAGACCGGTTCAGATACGGATGGAAAAATAGAATCTGCGGATCATGTATTTGCCGAAATAGTTATGCGCTTTTTTGTTTGTAGACAGAGACACGAGCTAGTCCGATAATTGTTTAGTACTCGTAGATAAGCCCAAGAAGTGCTAATTGGTAGTACACTGACAAAAGGATTTGTAGACTCATTGTCGTCGGCACATGAACCATTCTCCATTGTATCGTTCTAGAGCTCGCCCACACTCACGGACATTCGTACGCCCGTCCACCCGTCCATCCGTCCACATTCTTAGATACCTATACGTATGGATGTAGTTTACATAAATAAACTTAGAGACCTAGAACTTGCAATATCATACACATGCCCACTTACGTTTGTATTTATTTTTATAATTATTATATTCTGGCCCATTCCGATTTTAGCTTTCGCCTCCAAATCGTCACCAGATTATTTTGGCTAAATGTTTGTTTTAGAAGGAAGCGCTATCGACTGTGGGTCTATGGTTCTCATTTGTTTGTAATCAGTCATAATGCCCTGGGGTCTCAAGTGTAAAGAGCCCCCCTTATCGCGCACTCCACATTTGTATCCGCATATGACAGCGGGAGCTCAAAAGAATCAACAAATATACAATTTCAATGCATCATCAGCCATCAGAGTCGGCCTCGTCCATTCCATATTGTTGAGTGCTCATCAAATTTGAAAAGTGCTAATTTGAGCTGACCAATTGATTTCTATATTTTTCCACAACGCCGCGACAAGCCATGGAGTCTAGATCCACAAAGGTACTTGATATCTCTTTTATAACCCCGCCTCCCAAATCAATGCTAATTAGTGCGATAAATCATTCGTTTTGCAATGATTGATCTGCTTTATCGGGCGAGGTGTCTCAGTATTTCGATTATCGCGCAACTTGACGCACGACTATTGCTCCATCGCGTATCAAGTATATGCGAAAACATATAGTAATCCAAATATTTATAAATATCACCCGTGGATATGGTGGAAAGTGTTCCGGTCTACTCCATTTCGCATTTCATGGAGTCGCAGTTGGCGATGTCAAGGAATAGCGACAGAAGGGTGTCCAATTCCCAAGTGAGTCAAAAAATAAGCAATTACAGGGAAGTCTCTGATACTTGGATATATGTACACTTGAAGGAGTATTCCGATTTTTGCATTATATTTGACTAGAGCATCTTGTTTCTTCTTTTCATAAATGAAGAGCATTCTTTTTAGAACCCTAAAACTCGATGTTTTTTTTGGAGAAAAAAATATATATTCATTAATATAACATTTAAAAATTAAAATATATGATTCAAGCCCCAAAATGAGACATTGTAAATGTTGGTTTTGGAAACTTTTAATATTTTTTTAAATTTTATTAAAATAGTCTATAAAAGGAATTCAATTTTAAAAACTCTTAAGAGATTCCTATGAAATAGACAATATTTCAAAGTACATACCTTAATTGAAAGCCTTTTAATGTGGATTATCAGAGAGTCATCGCAAAGTATTCGATTTTGCAACTTTAAATATATTTTCCTTTTTGGAAAAATCATTTTTGAGATTAAATGCTTATAAAATGATCAATTTTTCAAAGTATTTCCCTCAGTTGAGAGCCTTTTACCCTAAAAATCCAAAATGATAATGTATTACAAGCTTCGACTATGTGAAAATATTCTTCAGAATAGTATATAGTTGATTTTTCGCTTTTGTTTTCATTGCGACATCACCCACATTCGCGTGTCACGTGTGTGTCTGGGCACACACACCCAGTTTGATAAACACCGTTATTTTGGGTTACAGTTTCGCATTTTATCAGAAAGCCGGTGGGAGTGTGGGTGTGGGTGGGTGGAAAGTGGAGCGTGGAGCGCGGCGGATGGGGAGGCCGGCCCAACAGGAGAACGATTGACGAATGAACGCTCTGAGCTTTCTGCGCCAGCGATTTTATTTCCAATTCCAATTCAGAGCGCGCCGCGTGCGCTCCACTAATCGCTGGCCATATTGTTTATTCCGAATAGATTGTAATCTCGGTTTTTGTTCCTGTTTTTAATATATATACTGTGTTTGTAGTGCGAATTTTCAAAGCCCTGAGTGTATAATATAATCCAGACTATATTGTAGTTTGTAGTTTGTCGCGCGGAGATGCTCAGTTCTGTGTAAGCCCCACAAGGGGAAGCAAATATTTGGAAAGTGGCCGGAAAAGATAAAAACGCTTGCTGAAATTACCTCATAATTGTAATTGCGGCTAAACATGGGCCGCACCCCCAAACTGCACCTGGTGGGCAAGGCCTACTCGGAGATGTCGCCCTTGAACCCGGATCCCCTGCAGGACTCGCCGACCACCAGTAGTGCCGCCCAGGCGGATCGCCGGGCCGAGCAGGGCGGCTACGGCAGCATCTTTCCCTTCGGCCTGCTGCGGGGCTCCTTTGGGCGTGGCGGCAATTCGATCCAGGTGGGTTTACGGCCGAAAGCAGGGCTTATACAGCTGTTTGGCATACACATAGTGCTTATCGGATACTGGCACATACGTTTGCAGAAGCAGATTGTTTAACCGATAAGTGACTGGGCGGCGCAAACTGTTTTTCCATCTGTTTGTTTTATCGTCACAATTAGTTGAGGTTGAGGTGACTCGGTTCTCCCACACCCTTCTATAAAGAATTGTAGAGTCTACCCAACCTTATACATGAAGTCTACCTACATCTGTGTGATAACAGCGCCAAAAAGTATGCTATACTTTGTGCCTCTACCACAAAAGGTTTAAAAAAAGAAGCATATATGAGTAAGGAAGGTTCTCAGGAATTTAACGACAAGAACGACTTAAGTCACGCGATGAACTGGAAGGCTTGAGATATGGGTCATTCTTTGTCGTTTAAAATTGGATTCTTTTTGGGGTATCAGTTTCTTTTTGAAAGCAGAAAGTAAAAAAAAACCCCTCTTAAGATTGAACTTTCAACAGAGTAACCCCAAGATCCCCTTCTCCCAAACAAATACCTCTCAAAATTATCAAATCTTATCCCCTTCCGGTTGAACTTGTCTTCTATTTGCCTTTTTGGGGGAAATAAAGAAAAGGTAATTAAACCGATAAAACATTATTATGTAGTCTTTAGTCCACAAGGAAATAGGGACCATATAGAGGGACTAGAGCCGGGCAGTATCCGTTGCTTATCTGAGTTATCTGGCTCCGGACTCGGCTGTTTGCCCAATTAATGAAAACCAAACACCCCCTTAGATGATTGGGGGGCCGGGGCCCAGCGCTTATATGATGCTCCCGCGTGGAAAAGCGGACAGTTTACTGGCGGCAGTCGATGCCCAAAGTTCGTTCGGCGGCTTCCCAATCGAATATCAAGTATCATACCCCATCGATTCCCCCGGCAACCTTCAAAACGGAACTGAACGGCGAGAGTCTGGTGAAAATGTTCAAGGCCCGCCTAAAGTCGAGTCCGGGTGGGAGTGAGGTGGGTGCCCCCAGCGAGCGACAAGTGTTATGCAAGTAGAGAACCTCATAGTCGAGATGCGCTCCTTCGTTATCGGGGATATCATGTGGTGTTCGTTATCCAAGACGTGTCAGTTCCTCAAAGCCAGCTGCTATCTTGAGGAAAGGGAATTTCGAAACTAAGCCAGCTTGATCGACAGGCCGCCGTTTGTGTGTAGGTCCACCCCAATGGGTCTGCATCAGTCAATCAATTGAGATTCATTAAGGGAATGGGACTCATCAAAGAACCGAACTCGACCAGACGAACCAACACTGCATAGCTCGATGAAGCCACACTGCCATTGAGCGCACAGCTTTCGTAGTGATTAAGTCACGTAAATAATGATATACTAACTAGCCACGTCCTAGATAAGCGAGTGCATTTGAGCATCTCGTGAGTGTCACCTGAAAGTCGAACCCGATCGCACAACCCACCAGCACCATGCCGAAAGACGGCCAGTCACGTAAGCCGGGGAAGAAGGCCGGTGCAGACCCCGGCGCCGCTTCCGAGACGCCCGGCAGCCCCAACAGAGCTGCCAGCAGCAACAGTTCCACCATCGGGGCCCTGGTGAGCAACCTGCACCACAACGATCTCCAGTCCCTGCACCAGCCGCTCCTGGAGAGCGAGGAGCGGGTGCTGAGCCACCGCAGTCCCACCAGAATCCACCCGCACAACCGCCAGTTTGGAAGCGAACTGAAGCCGCACAGCTCCCTGCCCCGGTTCGTGATCGACATCGAGGAGGAGACGGATGCTGCAGTGGCGGCGGCAGAGGCCGAGACCGATGGAAAACCCACTGCCAGCCAGGAGCAGGACGACCATGCCAATCAAAGTCCCTCCCGCCGTTTCAGCCACTTCAACCTGGCCCTGCGTCGCTTCTCCCACATCCATGTCCACGTAAATGCCAAATATCCCGGCCGTCTTGGTGTTGTAACGTTGTTGCTCTGCTGCTTTTTGGATCTCTGTCCTAACCCCCAGATTGGCCTAACCCCATGTACATACATAGATACCCAAACACACAGCACACTCGCACACAAAGGAGGGGGTATCCCCCTCCTAAACATATATGGAAAAAACCTGTATGGGTCGCGTGCACTGGATCTAAAAATAAATATTCTAGTTGCAGTCGCTTCTTCGCTCCCGACTTTGGTTAACTGCTTTGCTCTTTTGTGCCACTAATGCACCAAGAATGGTCCTTCTTTCTTTCAACTCTTTACTCGGCTCGCACTCCTCCAGCCCAGCACTTTGGTACACACTTGCGGTAAAGGAAATAGGGGTTATCTATGGGAATATTAATACTAATTCAGTCCGACTATGATGCATTTTACATTATTAATCGAATTATATAGGTACATCGGTGTAAGTTCATTTTATACAAGTCCATAGATACCAATTCCATACCATATATATACCATTTTTAAAAGAAAGGTATGATTTTTAAACCAAAAGGGATATTTTAAGGTTTACTGAGAAGAGTATGAGTTCCTTGAAGCTTTAATAAGATAATTTTTAAGAAAATCAACACGTTATAGAACCCTTTTTGTTAATCTATATAGGTATTATGATACAGTCTAGATTTTCTAGGCTTATGTTTAGTTTAGAACGAGTTCCTATATATTAGATTTATTTAAGATATACAATATAACTAGAAAATAAACAAAAAATAGACTCATATTCAACCAATTTTTAATGAAAAGTAATACTACCTCTTGAAACTCTATTATAACTTTTATAGTTCCTAACTAAAAAGTAAATAAAAGTCATTATAAAATAAAAAAATATTAGCTCTAGAGGTCTGAAAAAGGTGTGCTTGTATTTACATTCACAGTTTATTGTTTATTGCTTTTAAAATGTACATAAAATAGCAGTTACTTAACAAATTTATATTTAATTAAAGAGTCTACATAGTCAGACTGAGATGAATCATTAGGATCATCAACTAAATGTATTCTCAAAAGCCTAATGATTTAGTCAGTATTACTTAAGAATCGCTGTGATTACTAGTCATTCTTCCCCTGCTGTACTCAGCCCGCGAGTCAGATTCTTAACCCATTGCCAAGACTAGTATAACCCTTGAGTAGAAAAGCCCATTAAGTGAAGTTCTAGTGTCTGGCAACCACTCGAGAGTCGAGTCTAAGAAAACAAACTCACCAATTGGCAATCGTTCAGCACACGTCTCCATATTATCAGCCGCCTTCTGTCACTGTCGCAGATACTTAAACCCAATATTCGAGTATCTGAAAGAACTGCGAAGTACGAGATCAAGATACAGATACTCTGTCTGATGGCGGTGGTAATTGGCGTGTAAAACACAGAAATGTCTGATACGCGAAGAGGGTCCTGAGGAGGCCGACGACTGGCTGGCTGGTCGTTCAATAACCTAATGGAAGCCATAAACCGCTCGAACTGCCCAATAGAGCCAGCAGAATTAATGGCACTTCACACGGCCTTAGAAGAAGCATAAATTCGAGTGAAACTTTATTTACGCAAGCGAGTGCAGAAATAGCCGCACCACCAAAACCTGGCCATTCAGTCTTTGTGCAACGCTCGTGGCAGCAGGAGTCCAAAAGACCAAACCGGAAAACACGTTTCCCCCAAAGGGGCAACTTGGCTGACCAATTACTGTGTTTGCGGCACGAAACCATAGGCTACTTCCAGCCACCACCCACCTGTAATCAGCCAGAAGAGCGATGCTCACCTCCAGTCGGCAGTGGCTTGATAACTCGGACACCGTCAGACGTCGGCGAGCAGCTGAGGCGGTCGGTTGCATCGCTCACTCCTCAAAAAAAAAATTAATTAATTTATAAACTAATTATCGGGCCAAGAAATGGAAGAGTGATTTTGTCAAGTGAAGTGTATGCGCCAGACCAGTGACAATATTTATGAGGATTATTTAATTGGCCATATAATTGGACCAAGAGAGCCAAGAACTAGTGCCTGTCAAGCTGCAAAAACTACGGAATTTAATCCACTAATTAAGTAAACGTCGGGAATGCATTTGTTAATTGAAAGACAGCAGAAACACATCGAGTAAATATTAGAGGAATTAATTTGCCGATTCAGTACGCAACCGAGAGGAGGGAAATAAATGAATTTGCACATGCTGGCACTTAATTAAAAGTCCAACGACGTTGTAACTAGTGAGAGCCGGTTGAATGTTGTGATATTTTATTTCGCAAAGTGAGTCTGTGCCGGAGACCAACTAAAGAGCAGCACTTCCATGTTTACATGGCGTTTTATCAGCTTGACGCACGTACCAGAATCGCAGACTAGAACTGCAGATATCATTGAATAAATTAAGCTAAAAAAAAACCCAAACCAGTCAAAATGAAACTATCCAAGAGCTTCGATGAACTGATCCTCAGTGCCTCGCGGCTGAGTCTCAACAACCTGCGATCGCCGACCAAGAAAAAGTCCAAAAACGTAAAGTATACAAAACACCCCACAGTCACCGTCACTGTCACGCATAGCCCATTAGTTCCGACTCTGAATTAGCCATAATGGGGACGTAATACGAAAATTCCTTCAAAGTACCCCAGAGATAAACACACTCCAGGCCTCCAGACCTCCTGACCATCGTTGACTCAGACTGGCGGGCTGCCAGAGTGGCTGCTATAAATCTGAGACCTATCTGACTAATCTATTTTCTATCTATTTCGGCCAGACCCACTCCGCCGAGCGATACCCGCCTTAAATGCCATAATTTCGTTCGTTCTAGGTAGCTTAAGAGCCAGCAATTAGATCTATGCCAAGTAACTTTGTTTACCGATTTGTACTAACTCTATCGTTTTATGCTCGACTGCATTTTAACACCTTCGATTGAAACCGAAAACCCAACCAGACCAACAGCCAAGGTTTAAGGCCCACAAACAAGATCGTTGGGTGGCTTTTATTGATCCAATTGAACGCTCCCCCCTCCCCCCCTAATAACCGCCTGCCGTTGGAACACAAATTAATTAAAATAAACAAATAAATTAAAGCCAAGCCACTGCATTGCGTGCGGGATGTGGCCGGCCAGCATTTGTTCAAATAGCAAATACGACAATCTGTGACGTTATCGTTAAGATGGGTGATTACCTGACTCGTGGAGCATCAGACAGTGTGTGCCGTGGGGTTACGAGATCAAAGACGTCTGCCCAGATGGGCTTGGACGGGTCCTAGCGCCCAGATATGAGTTCAGGGCTATTTATAGTATCACCAACTTGGATATTTTCGGATATCAGGCAGTTAAATCAGGCACATGGTTCTCCGTTCATACTGATTTCTTGGAGCTCTTTATTTCACAATTACCCATCGATGGTGGCGGCTTTTATGACCCAATAACCCCTATAATTTATCGGTAATCACCTTTCAATGAGTCAATCTTGGGACCTGACAGAACACCATTACCTAGTACTAATTCTAAGATAAAATAATACCACTTGTTTAGGAGTTACTGTTTGGTTTCCTTGGTTCAGCATGGATCACCTTCGCCCCCTGGATATAACGCGAGGGTCTAATCTATCAAGTATTTCCCCAAAACCCTGTTCTAATTGCTTTGTAACACGAATAACCCGAACCAGTCTTGCTGAAGCCCCACAATTTTTATTTGCATGACGTTATCTTTTCCTTTAAATGAAAACCTATTGAAAACCCCACTGGGAAACCCATTCTAATCCCTCCGCTTTCCTCGGCCAGAACATAAATCGCTACGGAGACTCCATGGGTTCGCTGGGACATCGCGCCTTGCTGCAGTACATCGACAATAATGATATATCCGGTCTGCGGGCCATCTTGGATAGTCGGCATCTGACGATCGACGATCGGGATGAGGTGAGTCCTGGGGTTACCTTGTGGTACCAAAACTCTAATCCCTAATCACTTAGAATGCCACTACCGTCTTGATGGTGGTGGCCGGACGCGGCCTGACCTCTTTTGTCCGCGAGTTCCTGGCCCGCGGTGCTGATGTTCAGGCGGAGGACTTGGACAACTGGACAGCTCTGCTGTGTGCCTCTCGAAACGGTCACTTTGATGTCGTCCAACTACTGCTGGATCACGGCGCTGAGATCGAGCACCGCGACATGGTGAGTCAATGGAAGTAATCCCTCTTGTCCCCGATCCTTGACCATCTTCCTTTCAGGGTGGCTGGACCAGTCTGATGTGGGCAGCCTATCGGGGGCATACGGAGCTAGTGCGTCTACTGCTGGACAAGGGAGCCGATGGCAATGCCCATGGCAACTACCACCTGGGAGCCCTGTTGTGGGCCGCAGGACGTGGCTACAAGGACATCGTGGAGCTGTTGGTACAGCGCGGCGCCAAGGTCAACGTGGGAGACAAGTACGGAACCACGGCGCTCGTCTGGGCCTGCCGGCGGGGAAACGTCGAGATTGTGGACACTCTGCTGAAGGCTGGGGCGAACGTGGATACAGCAGGGATGTATTCGTGGACTCCCCTGCTGGTGGCAGCCTCCGGCGGACACACCGACTGCGTTAGTTCCATTCTGGAGAAGAAACCGAACGTGAATGCTTTGGACAAGGACGGCATGACCGCTCTGTGCATAGCCGCCCGAGAGGGGTACCAGGATATAGCCGCCTCCTTGATAGCCGCTGGTGCTTACATCAATATCCAGGACCGCGGAGCAGATACTCCTCTGATCCACGCAGTGAAGGCGGGACACCGTACTGTGGTGGAGGCTTTGCTGAAGAAACACGCCGATGTGGATATCCAGGGAAAGGATCGCAAGACGGCCATTTACACGGCCGTGGAGAAGGGTCACACCCCGATCGTCAAGCTACTGCTGGCCACCAATCCCGACCTGGAATCCGCCACCAAAGACGGGGACACTCCGCTCCTGAGGGCCGTCAGGAATAGGAACCTGGAAATTGTGCACCTGCTGCTGGACAGGAAGGCCAAGGTGACGGCCAGCGACAAGAGAGGCGACACCTGCCTGCACATTGCCATGCGGGCGCGGAGCAAGGCCATTGTGGAGGCCCTGCTGCGGAACCCCAAGCACAGCCAGCTCCTGTACCGGGCCAACAAGGCCGGGGAGACGCCCTACAACCTTGACTCCCTGCACCAGAAGACCATTCTGGGCCAGGTGTTTGGCGCCCGGCGCCTGAACACCAACGAGGACTCCGAGGGCATGCTGGGCTACGAGCTGTACTCCTCCGCCCTGGCGGACGTGCTCAGCGAGCCCACCCTGACCACCCCGATAACCGTGGGCCTGTACGCCAAGTGGGGCAGTGGCAAGAGCTTCCTGCTCAACAAGCTCCGCGACGAGATGAACAACTTTGCCCGCCAGTGGGCGGAGCCGCCCGTCAAGACCAGCGGCCTGCTCTTCCTCGTCTGCCTGCACCTGGCCCTGCTGATTGGCACCATTGTGGGCCTGAGCTCCTGGTCGGCGGTGATCGGAGTCTCGGCTGCCGTGGGCTTCATGCTGCTGGCCTACCTCCTCCTGGCGGCCGTCAAGTACTGCAACTACCAGATGGACCTGCAGTGGGCCTACTCCGTGCAGCATGGCCTGGAGAAGAGGATCACCAGGCTGCGACTGATACTGCAGGTGGCCTTCTGCCATCCACCCGGACCACAGTCGGACTCCCAGGCCAAGCCGGTCAGGTTCCACTTTGCGGAGGCGAACAGCGCTTCGCCCACCGGCGACGGAGCTGTGGCCCATATGCTGGCCTCCCTCCTGGACGCCATCGAGTCGCACTACGGATGGCTGGCCACCAGACTGTACCGGGCCTTCCGGCCCAAGTGCCTCAAGGTGGACGTGGGCTGGCGCTGGCGTCGCATGTGCTGTATTCCCATCGTGGTGGTCTTCGAACTGGCTCTGATCACCCTGGTGACGGGGATTTCCCTCATCGTGGCCTACTTCACCTTCGCCAGCGAGTCGGAACGGCCGCAGATCCTGGTGGCTCTGTATGTTATCGCCGCCGTGATGGGCACACTCATCTGCACCCACCTCCATGTCCTGGCCAAGGTGTGCGTCTCCCTCTTCACATCGCACATCCGGCAGCTGAAGCGGGCGGTCCGCTCCAGCGAAACAGCCCCTCTGACCATGCTGGGCGCCGAGGTGGCCGTGATGACGGACATGGTCAAGTGCCTGGACGCGTTCACCAACCAACAGAGTCGTCTAGTGGGCGTGATTGATGCTCTGGACTCCTGCGACACGGAGAGGATTCTCACCCTTCTAAACGCCGTGCAAACCCTGCTCTCCTCGCCAAACAGACCTTTTGTGCTGCTCATTTCGGTGGATCCGCATGTCATCGCCAAGGCGGCGGAGGCCAACAGCAGGAGGCTCTTCACGGAGGGCGGAATCGGAGGACACGACTTCCTGAGGAACCTGGTCCACCTGCCCGTCTACCTGCAGAACTCTGGGCTGCGGAAGGTGCAGCGAGCTCAGATGACAGCGCTCCTGTTCAAGCGGAGTACGGGCGGAGAGTATCAGACGGAGGATGGAGCCACCCTGGGCCATTCGGTGTCCGCTCGCCGGTTGTCCAACGCCTCGGAGATCATTTCCAGCCAGGAGAAGCTGCGCGGCCAAGGACGAGGTGGTGGTGGCAAGAAGCTGCGTCTCTCCGAGTCTGTGGCCAGCTCGACGGGTTCCAATCTCCATCGGCTTGGCCAGAACCCCCAGACAGTGCTCGATCTTTCGAGGATTGTGCTAACGGATGACTACTTCAGCGATGTGAATCCGAGGAGTATGCGGCGCCTGATGAACGTCATCTACATCACGGTGCGCCTGCTCAAGGCCTTCCAGATTGATTTCAGCTGGTACCGCCTCAGTTCCTGGATCAATCTCACGGAGCAGTGGCCCCTGCGGGCTAGTATGATAGTCCTGCACCACGACCAGTTCATGGACGGCAACGCCGACGAGTCGGTTTCCCTGCAAAGTGTCTACGAAAAGTGAGCTTGACTTACAACCAAATCTATATAGTATCTCAACAATCTCCTTCCCACAGACTGCGTCCCAAGCTAGCCTACTTGCGAGAAGCTGCTCCTCTCCTGGAACTGGATCGCGATGAGCGGAAACTGGACGCCTTCCTGCAGCTGCACAAGTCGGATCTTCTCGTGGCGGATCTCCGCATCTTCTTGCCCTTTACCATTAACCTGGACCCCTACTTGAGGAAGGTTTTGAAGGGTAAGCACTTCGAGGGGTTATCCTGTCCAGGAATTAAGTATATCTTCTCCCGTAGAGGACCAGCAAATCATCGAGGATGAGGGCTCGCTTGTCCTGCAAACGAGACCCAGTGTTTCCAACGCCATGCGCCAGTTCCCAGCACCCACCACCTACGTGCCTTCGCCTCCGACCTATCCACCCTACCAGATGTTCCAGAACGAGTATCCTCCAGCCAACGAGCTGCGCTCCAGGAATCTCAGCTCAAGCACTGAACCCGTCACGCCACTCATTAACTCGCCGAGTGATTCCTTTGGGGTAAGGCCTTCACTCTCCTTCTCCAATAAAAGGTTCCTAATTCCACATCCTTTAGGAGGACATCCTGCAAACCAAGCTTACCGATCTGACGGTGGACGGAGTCATCAGCTTGCTGGAGAGGATTGATGACATGAAGCCGGCAATGGCCAAGCTGGCACCCGTGCTCCGCGAGAACGCCATTAACGGGCGTGTGCTAAAGCACTGTGATATGCCGGATCTCAAATCGGTAGGATCTCCTTTCCAAAGAAACGATTCTCGATAACGAAACGATTCCATGACAGGTTCTCGGCCTCAGCTTTGGCCACTGGGAGCTGTTCCGCCTGCTCATCACCACGCTGCGGGAGTGCGAACGCCTGCCCCGGAAGCCCCAGCGCCAGCAGTCCCAGCAGCCCGCCGCCCTGGAACCGCCCTCGAATGTCCCAATGATCAAGGATGTTACCGACGCCCTGATGCAGCCACCCCGGGAGTCGTTGTCGCGCAAGAACTCGGTCAGTCATATGGAGAAGCAGGTAAGATTTCGAAAGTATCTTGGGGTGTTATGCATAAGGATCGGGATCGACAATTGCTCTAACTCATGTGCTTTGATCTATTCTTATTCCGACCATTCTAACAAACCGAAACGAAATGCCAGTCAAAAGTCCATGACTACGAGTACCTGCAGGTAAAGCCCACGCTTGGACACACTCCAAGAGACCCAGACTGAACCTAAAAAACAAACACGCCCCCATTAAAGCCATATCATAAGCAAAAAAATAAAACCATTCCCAAAACAATTTAAAATTTTAAGGTCAATTGATTGTGAATGAAAGAAAAGCGGAAAAGAGGAAATTCTTTAAAGAAACAAGTAAGGAAGGGCATAGAGAGGTATGTGAGTTCTTCTATGGACTAGGCTCTAGTCACTAGGATGGCCATCTTAAACACGGCACTCCTCGGAGATCGGAGTTGTATTCCTAGTAAAGTTGGTTAATCCTTTGGACAATAATAAATTTTGTATCGTATTTAAAAGCTATAGCTCAGGGATATGTACTTGAACATTGGGTTTTCCCCTATATGGCCCACTGTGATGGCTATATCTTCCCCAATTCTCATCCGATTCTCAAGCGGAGTACCTTAAACGATTTCTGGATCGATTCGCCACCATTCTGCATCAAAATCCTGAGAGAAAATATTTTTTCGATTTTTTGTCCATTTTTTCTGAGGAGATCCATTGAAAATGGGGTTTTCCCCTGTAGGGTCCACTGTGATGGCTATATCTTTCCCAATTCTCATCCGATTCTCAAGCGGAGTACCTTAAACGATTTCTGGACCGATTTGCCACCATTCTGCATCAAAATCCTGAGACAAAATATTTTTTCGATTTTTTGTCCATTTTTCGGGATGGGATCCTTTGGAAATGTGGTTTTCTCCTATAGGGTCCACAGGGATGGCTATATCTTCCCCAATTCTCATCCGATTCATAAGCGGAGTTCCTTAAACGATTTCTGGATCGATTTGCCACCATTCTGCATCAAAATCCTGAGACAAAATATTTTTTAAATTTTTTGTCCATTTTTCCTGAGGAGATCCCTTAAAAATGGGGTTTTCCCCTGTAGGGCCCACAGTGATGGCTATATCTTCCCCAATTCTGATCCGATTCTCAAGCGGAGTACCTTAAACGATTTCTAGATCGATTTGCCACCATTCTGCATCAAAATCCTGAGACAAAATATTTTTTAGTTTTTTTGTCCATTTTTCCTGAGGAGATCCCTTAAAAATGGGGTTTTCCCCTGTAGGGTCCACTGTGATGGCTATATCTTTCCCAATTCTCATCCGATTCCCAAGCGGAGTACCTTAAACGATTTCTGGATTGATTTGCCACCATTCTGCATCAAAATCCTGATACAAAATATTTTTTCGATTTTTTGTCCATTTTTCTTGAGGAGATCCCTTAAAAATGGGGTTTTCCCCTGTAGGGTCCACTGTGATGGCTATATCTTTCCCAATTCTCATCCGATTCTCAAGCGGAGTACCTTAAACGATTTCTAGATCGATTCGCCACCATTCTGCATCAAAATCCTGAGACAAAATATTTTTTCGATTTTTTGTCCATTTTTCCTGAGGAGATCCCTTAAAAATGGGGTTTTCCCCTGTAGGGTCCACTGTGATGGCTATATCTCTTCCAATTCTTATCCGATTCCCAAGCGGAGTACCTTAAACGATTTCTGGATTGATTTGCCACCATTCTGCATCAAAATCCTGAGACAAAATATTTTTTCGATTTCTTGTCCATTTTTCCTGAGGAGATCCCTTAAAAATGGGGTTTTCCCCTGTAGGGTCCACTGTGATGGCTATATCTTTCCCAATTCTCATCCGATTCTCAAGCGGAGTACCTTAAACGATTTCTAGATCGATTCGCCACCATTCTATATTATCCTTCTACATTGTCTATTTTTTGTTTTTCGTGACCAAAGACTTTTTTGGCTAAGGAAAAAACCCCTTATATTGAACGCCTTATAGTATATAAAGAAACCTCTTATATTAAGCCAATGCCACACATGTGGGTCACGGCTGATCAAATATCCAGATTTCTTATGGAACAACTTAAATTCCTGAAGTATACAATACTCTTTAGGAACCATATGTGGAACAAGAGTATACATACGGCCTTCCTGTATTTGCCTTTAAGTGGGTTCTTTAAATATTTATATTATTATTTCCTCAAGAGCATCGAAGCATGCCACTCGAAAAAGAAAGGTCTGCTCTTTTTAAAATACTTCAATAAAATATTGCTTACATCAATTGATCTTGAAATTCTTATTTAAGAACAAAATACTTTAATTTTTTCATCCAAAAACCGCATCTAATATGATTATTTGTATGACTAGGTCACGCTGGAGGAGCAAATGATCTGCGGAGCGCTGCAGACCCTCAACGAGGAGGCCTTCGAGGATGTGGCCATTAGCGAGAGGCCGAGTCCCACAGGTGAGATGTTGGCGGCTGTCGCCCAACTGCAATTAGCACCCATCCGCGAGTCCTCCGAGTTCGGATCGCCATCCGACGAGCAGATGCACCTCAACAACAATAAGTACTTGCATGCCGGGTACAATCGCAGCGCCAGCTCGCACTCCCTGCAGAGTCTGAGCACTCTGGTGGGGGCACCGGGCGTGGCCCACGGTAGCCACACAAGTCATCTGGGCAATGGTAACAATTTAAGCGGTAGCACGCTCGATCTAATGCATGTAGACTCGGTGTTTAATGGTGTTGGTGTTGGTGGCGACTATCACCGCACGTCGCGCCAAATCTCGATCAGCAGTGAGCTGCTGAGCGAGCCCAGCTCCCTGCCCCTGGTGGTGGTCATACCCAATACCTCCGGTGAACAGACCTACGACGACACGCCGCTCTGAGCCAACCCGGCCGGGGAGGGAGAGGCGCTGGCTGGCCTGTGATTAACCAACAGGAGCTGCATGGGTGATCGGTGTACCATCCATAATTTAAAAACAAACATATCTATAGTCTGACGAACCGAACCATTTTAAACACTGGACCAAAATCAGAATCGATACCAAATCATAACCAATATCATCCTCAGTCTATCTCTGGTTTTTGTTTAATTTTTGCTTTGGCTTGGCTTGATCCGGTCTCCGGGCAGTATTATCTACTAAACACTAACGTTGAGTTCTGCGAATTACTAAATCATTCCAATTGTTACCACATATGCTGATAATTAGTTCTTAAATTTCGCCACAAACACACACCCAGACCACAAAACACATTTAAGATTGTGAATCCCCCACGAAACACGAACCCCCTACTAACAACTACGATGGCATTCTAACCCCATCCCCCCAAAACCCACGATGAAGGATCAATAAACGATAAATATGAACAACTCGTTACCAGATGCATTTTATTCAGCTTTCTACTATATACTCCTCTCTGTTTATATTTTGTATTAAGTGTTTTATGTTCCGCCTTCCGTTAACATCTGTTCCGAGTTTCGACATTCACCTGGTCCCATGACTATGTTACTCTGGGGCAGCACCGCCTGTGACGGGAGATCCTGTCCCCCGGCAGAATCCTAACTAAATTTACCCACAAATCGTATGAATTTTAGAACTCGACACACCGAGTGCCGGAGCGGCAATGACGACGCCATTGCTTAGTTCCTCCAGTTCCAGCACCGTTCAGCCAGCGCCTTCGGGTCGCGAGCAGGGCATCCTGAAGCAGCAGGGCAGCGTCAAGGCCGACAAGAGGGTATCGATCCAACAAACGGCGAGCAGCAACAAGCTGGCACCAAACGTGGAGTACGTTTCCGAGCGACAGTCGGACGTCCAGGGAAGCAGCAAGCGCTTGACAACCAAGCCCCCACCAGGTATGGTTCTCCTTCTCAAATCCAAAACCCACGACTAATACCAGCCATCCATCTTTTAGGACCACGGCCCGCTTCGCTGATCATCACCAGAAACGATTCCAATTCGCAGATCCAGCTGCTGCGCTCCTCGTCCGTGGACTACGACGACGTGGAGGCCCAGGAGCACCGGACAACGATACGGACTACACTGCTGGAGCAGCAGGAGGAGGAGGAGTCCGCCCCCTTCGCATTTACAGTGCGCAAATGATACAATCTGCTTTAAGCTTAGTTACAAACTAGATTTAATACTATTAGCCAATAACTAGAGGCCTCAGTCGGAGCTCTGAGTTTCGAGTATACAATGCTGTTCTCTAGCAAAAGACAATTTGTTTTCAGCTCTGAAGTTCGTTCACTACATGTTACTTGTAAAGTTATATACGATATATGAGCAGGTGTATTTATTAATTGTATAAAAGTTAAGAGTGTTTTTTGCCTGAGATTTACAATACGATATGTATATGCGCGTCGGCGCGGCCTTTGAAGCCTCTGAGAGATATATATTCGAGACATAATACATAGAGTCCTAGCGCAATCGAAACTTTGGTATATGTAACGTTGTGTGGCTGCGAAAGCTCTTTTGGCATGTTTTCATGTTGCCTTTGGTATAATGATTTACAAATAAATTCGATGTGTACTATTGAGAATGTCAGATCTTGAAGAATGCTATCGGTGGAAGCGTCGCTTGATGTGCAGAGCCGGCTCCAGGGCCTTGTACAGTGTCGGGGCCCACGAGGTGTCGGGCACCCTCGTAAAGAGCTCCATTAGAGCGAACATCACGTTGGACTGCTGCTGGGTTAGATCCGTCTCATCGAAGTTTGGATCCTGCCAGAACGCACCGCTTGATTGGCTCTCCATACGGACTTGGGTCTCAACACTTCTAGTGGAGGAGACGCCTTCCGTTTGGGTGGCGGCGTTCTTGTACAGCGTTGCCGTCTCGATGTCCTCCGCCGGCGAGAGACCCTTCTCCATTTGCTCCTTTTTCAGCTTGAGAATGCGCTGCGACGGCTTCGCTGTCATCTGGATCTGCTTAAGGCGCTCCAAACTGATGCCCAGAATACGAAGCAACTCCCTGGTGGCCTGCGGCACTGTTTCCAAGCCCCACTTGTTGAAGTCAATCTTTGTACCCGGGACGGAGTTGAACGCGTACGTCACGTTCATGTTGTTACAGATGGGCGAGGGATTCTCGAAGCTGTCCTGGTTGCGGAACGATTCGCTGACGGGCAGCTTTCCCACAGTTTCCACCATTTGGACCTCGGTTTGCTCCTGGTCGTCTTTCTGCTTCTGAAAGAGCTGCAGAGCCAATTCTGCCCGAGCCATGGCGCGATTCCGCCTGTCGGGCAGCGCCAGCTTGCCTTGGTGTGGCACAAACTCCTGTTTTGGAGGGGCAAAGAGGCGGGATGACTGCACCAGTCGGATCTGCCTTTCATCACTTCGCACTGGAATACAGTCGGATTCTGGATCTGGCTTTGGCGTTTTTAGGGACTCATTGCCGTGACTGCGGCGGCGCTTGTTTTCCTTCAGGCTGTCGTTGAGCGAACTCTGGCTATGCCGGCGCTTCCTTGACTCCGATTGCTCCTTGCTTTGGCTCGATTTGTGAGACCGGTCCTTTTTGTGCTTCTTTTTTTTCTTCTTTTCTTTGGGTTTCGAAGCAAGTTCAGTGTCCACTTTTTCCAACTGCTGCAAGATCTCCTTCTTAGTGGCGATAAGCGCGTCAGTACTCTCGGCTTCCGAAGGGTCCTCCGCTGCTGACAAAGCATCGAGGCTGCACAGGTCCATATCGTTGAGGCTTTCCCGCCGAGTGAATTGACTTGGAATTCCGTCTAGGGTGCGTCTGATTCCTTCACTGGGCTCCGACTTAAGAGGTGGTTTTGTGTCGGCAGCTGGTGCAGGTTCCTCGCAGTTGAAATCCTCATTCAGCATCTCATCCAGCATTTCGTCCACTTCCATATCAAACTTGGGTTGCAGAGGGGCCTCTTCCTTAGGTTTGGTTTCCTGTAGGCTGGCCCCCGGAGTGCGGGGGGCAGAAAGATGACTGACATCGTCATTGTCACTTTCCCATCCGGATTCGGTCGCAGGAACGTAAGGAGCAAAGGCGTGAGGCGGCGTACTTATGGTTCTTTCTCGTAGAGGTGTATTATCGTTCTCATCCAAATACGTTTGGCCCTCAACCTCTTGTACTTCTTGCTTTATCGGCTGTTCCATGGCTTCTAAGCAATAGTTTCGAATTTCTTTTAAGACATTTGACACTTGAATGAAAATTCGTATTTATGAAATGCGTTTAGAGATGAGGAAGAATCATCTTTCATTTTAGATCAGTAATCGATAGAGATGGCCCCACCTCTAGCAAGACATAAAACAGGTGCCTTCTCGAAAACCTGTTGATGTAATCGAGTACTTATCGATTATTCAAATTTAAAAATGTTTCTTTTCGTTACAGGACATTAATGCTAAAAAATGAATAAGATAATGTATCTCTCCAATTCAATAAAAATATTCTTTTCTGTCGCGCCTATTTTAAATATAATATGTTTATGCGTTAAGAAGGATGATGTCCCAAAAACATGCATTTATTATTAATTTTTGTTGTTAATTGAAAGAAATTGGTTGATAAATTTCCCCGATTGATGTACCTTTTTATTTATTATTAAAAATAAATACAAAACTACCCCAATTTATATTAGGATTTAGTATCCTTCTTGTAACAAAACAAAACGTCATGTGTTTTTGTTATCGTATGAACAACAGCTGTTTTTTGTTTACAAGCATCTGTTGTTGGGGGTTGTGCCTGATGACCACAAAAACTTCAGAGGTCACCTTGAGCTTGATAGAATCGGAACAATTGCTTAAGAATTTCAGCTGGTAACGTAAAAGTTCAATTTGTCGCTTCATTTCTTGCCCAAACAGTACAAAAATCATTCAAAAACGTGTGTAAAATCAAAACAATTCGTGGAGAACGTATTCCCGTGTACATAAACAATATTCCCAAGCATGAATGTGAATGAAAGTGTTTAGATAAGTGCGGGGGAGATAAAAAGTATACACAGATTACCCACATGGAGCAGTTCTTTGTTTTTTTTTGTTAAATTTAGGACTGGATTTCTATAGACTGCTATTTATATATTCTAAGGCCAAGTCTGCCGGCAAACAAGTGCAATTCATTGACCTACATCGGTGGGTATGAAGGTGCAGGCGCTCCTCTCCCACACGTATGGATGTGGGCGTGTGCGGTGGTGTGCGTCTGTTTGGGCTGATGTGTGCAAAAAGTATTTTTATTCCTGACCTGCTAGTGAAATTTCAATGTTGATAACATCCCGCCAATCGCTAAAAAAATGTTCGAGGTCCCCAACACGTAGGCGCCACATGCCTGTCAATAAAAATGCAACTGGAAGCCCAGGGGCAGGGGGCCTAATATGGAGGGTGATGTGGTGAAATCTAAAAATCTAAAACATATTATTTTTACTGATAAGGAATTTCGAATTTGTTCAATTTATTCGACCCCCACAAGCCAATAAAACTAGTCTCATAGGGAAAGCTTTATTAGTTCCCCCACTGATTGATGAACTTGAAACAGTTTCTTTGAGAAAATAAATAAATAAAATGGAAGACCCTCCAATCCCCCTCTGGGAGCACGCCCCTGAAAATCCAACTTGAGCCACCTTCCCATGTGTATAGTGTGTGTGTGCATGTCATCCGAACGCGATTAAAGGTACATATTCGTTTAATGCTCCATTTGCGATTAGGCCGGCTGAGAATTCCTGGCAGTCACTGTTCCGCGGCAAACGGCTCCAAAACAATTAAAATTCCCCAAAAAAAAAGTAGCCAAGAACGATATTTTCAGCTGGATTTGGTGGAGGCTTGAAGGGAACCGGGATAAATGCTGTCTGAGGGATTCCATTGGTTCTGGAGGAGCGTCCTCCAGATCTTGATGCGCTATCAGTTCTTTCGCTGGCTGCTGGGATTCATAGAGCCTGATAAGAATGCACCGTTACAAATCGAATCCGAGGAAGAGCAACTACCGGGAAAGAAGAAGCAGCATCAGCATCAGCCGCCGCCAGAGCAGCATCGTCCGGCGGAGAAATCGGAATCAGTCGTGATTAGAACCGGTGCAAGTGCAATGGGAAATGCAGGGAGTGCCGAGATCGTATCAAATCAAATCATCCGTCGCCGTGAGGTAGTATCGCCTATATTGCCTGTGATCGATTGCTGTTCCATAAATCTATACTACATATATGCCACCCGTGTATATGCCTACCTATGTGTCTCTTCTCTATGTCCGTGTGTTGGTCGGAGGCCATGGAATATAAGGCAAGCACTCCGTCCGGCGATGCTGCAGTCTGTGCCGTGTTCTCCTTGTTAAATCTACTAAAACTATTCCGAAACCAGTCTCCGTCCACCGTCCACCGGGCAATCCTCAACAATTCTTCTCGCAGTGTGGTGGTGTTTTAACAAGATGCCTCTGTGTGTGCGTTGTGATTGCAGTTATCCCCCTCATCCCCATCACCTACTCTCCTCCATCCATGAAGCCATGTTCATGTGTCAATTAAGTAATGGTGTGACGGCTGGTTGTGTAACCATTTCCACTGATCTCCCACAGATCAGCACCATGGGCAAGGAGACGGATTCGCACAGCATCCCCATCAACGAGGGTCAGAATGCGGAGCACGTCCTGTACCGCCTGAAGAGGGGCTCCAAGCTCAGTGTCCATCCCGATGCCGCCCTCCTCGGCCGGAAGATACTCCTGTACACCAACTACCCCGCCGAGGGCCAAAAGTTCGTACGGACGGAGTACCGGCTCCTCAACTGGAACCTCAGCAGCGGCAAGCAAATCTCATCCGTGATGCATCCAGAGGCGCATGTCGTGGACACGGATATATACAGCCTGGTGGAGTTGAACCTCTCGGGCACCTTCCATTTCTACTTCCGGTATCTGGAGAGGTAACAACATGACTTTAGCCCTAATCCTTATCCCTTGATGAAATCTTGCTTTTCTAGACCAGACACTGGGGCTGCTGGAGCGGACGGTGCTCTCTATGTTCAGGTGGAGCCCACACTGCATGTGGGGCCGCCAGGAGCCCAGAAGACGATACCCCTGGACTCGGTGCGCTGTCAAACAGTATTGACCAAGCTCCTGGGACCCCTCAACACCTGGGAGCCCAAGCTGCGCGTGGCCAAGGAGGCCGGATACAATGTGATTCATTTCACACCCGTTCAGGAGCTGGGCGGCTCTCGCTCCTGCTACTCCCTGCGCGACCAGCTCAAGGTCAACTCCCACTTTGCCAACCAGAAGGGAGGAAAGGTCACCTTTGAAGAGCTCGAAAAGGTTATCAAGAAGTGCCGTCAGGAATGGGGGGTGAGTACAGACTGCTGGAGGCTTCGAAGGGCTTACTAAACCCCCGCCGCTTAGGTGGCCTCCATCTGCGACATCGTGCTCAACCACACGGCCAACGAGTCCGAGTGGCTGCTCCAGCATCCCGACGCCACGTACTCTTGCGCCACGTGTCCCTATCTGCGGCCCGCTTTCCTGCTGGATGCCGCTTTCGCCGCCTGCGGAGCCGACATCGCCGAGGGTAGTCTGGAGCACGTGGGCGTACCGCAGGTCATCGACCAGGAGTGCCATTTGGAAGCCTTAAAGTACCAGCTGCACACCTCCTACTTGTCCAAGGTCAATATTCACGAGCTGTACCAGTGCGATGTGATGAAGTACGTGAACGACTTCATGACCCAGGTGCGCACTCGGGAGCCACCCAAGAACGTGGCCAACGAGTCGCGCTTCCAGGAGATACAACTGGTACAGGACCCGGAATATCGACGCCTGGCCAGCACCATTAATTTCGAGCTGGCACTGGAGATCTTTAATGCTTTCCATGGCGACTGTTTCGATGAGGAGTCGCGGTTCCGCAAGTGCGCCGAAACCCTGCGGCGGCATCTGGACTCCCTGAACGATCGCATTCGCGCCGAAGTCCAGGGATACCTGAACTACGCCGTGGACAACGTGTTGGCCGGAGTGCGCTACGAACGCGTCCAGGGCGATGGTCCCAAGGTGAAGGAGATCTCTGAGAAGCACTCCGTCTTCATGGTCTATTTCACGCACACGGGCACCGAAGGCAAGAGCCTGACCGAGATCGAGGCGGACATGTACACCCAGGCGGGACGATTCTTCATGGCCCACAACGGTTGGGTGATGGGCTCCAGCGATCCACTCCGGGACTTTGCCGAGGAGCAGCCGGGACGTGCCAATGTCTACCTCAAGCGCGAGCTCATCTCGTGGGGCGATAGCGTCAAACTGCGCTTCGGTCGCAAGCCGGAGGACAGCCCGTACCTGTGGAAACACATGACCGAGTATGTGGAGACCACGGCCCGCATCTTCGATGGTGTTCGCCTGGACAACTGCCACTCTACGCCGCTGCACGTGGCCGAGTTTCTGCTGGACGCCGCCCGGAAGATTAATCCGGAGCTGTATGTGGTAGCTGAGCTGTTCACCAACTCCGATGCCACGGACAATGTGTTTGTGAACCGATTGGGAATCACTTCCCTGATCCGCGAGGCCCTCTCCGCCTGGGACTCGCACGAGCAGGGCCGTCTGGTTTACCGGTACGGCGGCGTGCCAGTGGGCGGCTTCTACGCCAACTCCGCCCGCCACGAAGCCTCCAGCGTGGCGCATGCCTTGTTCTTGGACCTCACCCACGACAACCCGTCTCCGGTGGAGAAGCGTTCCGTGTACGACCTGCTGCCCTCAGCGGGGTTGGTCTCCATGGCTTGTTGTGCCACTGGCAGCAACCGTGGTTACGATGAACTGGTGCCCCATCACGTAAGTAGCCGTCATGGTATCCTAACCGTGATTCAACCCCCTCCCTCTTTCAGATACACGTGGTGGATGAGGAGCGCCTCTACCAAGAATGGGGAAAGGGAGTGGACTCCAAGTCTGGCATCATGGGCGCCAAGCGAGCTCTGAACATTTTGCACGGCCAACTGGCGGAGGAAGGGTTCAGCCAGGTGTACGTCGACCAGATGGATCCCAATGTCGTGGCCGTCACCCGCCACTCACCGACCACCCACCAGTCGGTAATCCTGGTGGCCCACACCGCCTTCGGTTACCCGAATCCAAATGCTGGAGCCACCGGCGTCCGTCCGCTGCGCTTTGAAGGCGTCCTGGACGAGATCATACTCGAGGCCAGCCTGACCATGCAAGGGGACAAGCCATTCGATCGCCCAGCTCCTTTCAAGAAAGACCCGAACGTGATCAACGGCTTCACGCAGTTCCAGCTGAGTCTTCAGGAGCACATCCCGTTGGCCAAGTCCACTGTGTTCCAGACCCAGGCCTATGCGGACGGGAACAACACGGTGCTGAACTTCGCCAACCTCAGACCCGGCACTGTGGTGGCCATTAGGGTGTCAGTCCACCCGGGACCGCGTGCCAACTTCGACAAGCTCCAGAGTATCTCGAACTCCTTGCGCCGGGGAACCGGCGAGGAATGGGCCCAGCTGCAGGACATCGTGTCCAAGCTGGACTTTGTGGCGCTGAGCGGTGCTCTCTTCAACTGCGACCAGGAGGAACGGGACATGGGCAACGGGGGATCAGCCTATGATATTCCCAACTTCGGAAGGATCGTGTACTGCGGCCTGCAGGGATTCGTGTCCCTGCTGACGGAGATTTCGCCCAAGAACGACCTGGGTCATCCCCTCTGCAACAATCTCCGCGACGGAAACTGGATGATGGGTAAGTAGTTTGGAGTGGATCAAGGCCAAAGCCTTACATATGCCGTCCACAGATTACATCGCCGACCGCCTAACCAGTTTCGAGGACCTGAAGCCCCTCTCTGCCTGGCTCAAGGCCACCTTTGAGCCCCTGAAGAATATTCCTCGCTACCTCGTACCCTGCTACTTCGATGCCATTGTCAGTGGGGTCTACAACGTGCTCATCAACCAAGTCAACGAACTTATGCCAGAGTACGTTCTCCACGGAGGGGAAGAGTTCATGATAGTTACCCTCGTTGTCGTTTCAGTTTCATAAAGAATGGCCATAGCTTTACCCAGTCCCTGGCTCTCTCCACGCTGCAGTTCCTCTCCGTTTGCAAGTCGGCCAACCTGCCAGGATTCAGCCATGCCATAAGCCCACCGAAACCCCCCAAGCAGTGTGTCACTCTTTCCGCTGGACTGCCGCATTTCTCCACTGGTGAGACTTCCCCAACAGAAGATCAGCTTGATGGCAATGTAAACCCTCCCAATCCCTTTTCCAGGTTACATGCGCTGCTGGGGCCGTGATACCTTCATCGCCCTGCGCGGTTCCATGTTCCTCACCGGTCGCTACAACGAAGCCCGCTACATAATCATTGGGTTTGGACAGACCCTGCGTCATGGCCTGATTCCCAATCTCCTGGATGGTGGCAACCGTTCGAGATTCAACTGCCGCGACGCCGTCTGGTGGTGGATGTACTCCATCAAACAGTATGTCGAGGATGCCCCGAAGGGAATCGAGATCCTGAAGGACAAGGTGTCGCGCATCTTCCCCTACGACGATGCGGAGGCCCATGCTCCGGGAGCCTTCGACCAGCTGCTGTACGACGTCATGCAGGAAGCCCTGCAGGTCCATTTCCAGGGATTGCAGTACAGGGAGCGCAATGCTGGTCGCGAAATTGACGAGCACATGGTGGACCAGGGATTCAACAACCACATCGGAGTCCACCCGGAAACCGGCTTCGTTTACGGCGGCAACAACTTCAACTGCGGCACCTGGATGGATAAGATGGGCTCTTCCCAGAAGGCGGGCAACAAGGGGCGACCCAGTACTCCCCGTGACGGATCCGCCGTGGAGCTGATTGGCCTGCAATACGCCTCGTTGCGCTTCATGCAAAGCCTCGCCGAGAAGGACCTCATACCCTACTCCGGAGTGGAGCGCAAGGGCCCGTCTGGTGAGAAGACCAAGTGGACCTACAAGGAGTGGGCGGACCGCATCAAGGACAACTTTGAAAAGTTCTTCTTTGTGTCCGAGTCGGAAACCGGTTCCCTGGCCAACAAGAAGCTCATATACAAGGACAGCTACGGAGCCACCCAGAGCTGGACGGACTTCCAGCTGCGCTGCAACTTCCCCATCACCCTGACCGTGGCCCCGGAATTGTGCAATCCCCAGAACGCGTGGCGAGCGCTGGAGCAGGCTAGGAAGTATATTCAGGGACCCCTGGGCATGAAGACTCTGGATCCCGAGGACTGGAACTACAGGGCCAACTACGACAACTCGAACGATTCCACCGACTGCACGGTGGCCCACGGTGCCAACTACCACCAGGGACCGGAGTGGGTGTGGCCCATCGGATTCTACCTGCGGGCGCGCCTGATCTTCGCCAAGAAGTGCGGCCACCTGGACGAAACCATTGCCGAGACCTGGTCCATTCTGCGCAACCACCTGCGGGAGCTACAGACGTCCCACTGGCGGGGACTGCCGGAGCTGACCAACGACAACGGTGCCTACTGCGGAGACTCGTGCCGCACGCAGGCCTGGAGTGTGGCGGCCATTCTGGAGGTGCTCTACGACCTGCACTCCCTGGGGGCGGATGTGGCATAGACCCAGGAACATACTCAGACGTGTTAGTTGCTACCAAGCTCGGAAACCTGTTATTAGTGTTACATTTGATGGAGTGGAATGAGATGTGCTCCTTGAACCTGTCCTTTTTCCAATTCTATTAAAGTTGCAATTGTTTTTAATCTACTCGGAGTCGGCTCCGGCATTCCTCTACGAGAAGTAGCTGTCCCGGCAGATGCGCATGCAGGAGCACTGCGGAGGGTCTATCAAGCCGCTGTTCGTTCGGGGCATGTCGCGCCCTTCGTATTTGATGACTTTCCGAATCGGTGGCGCCTTGGGTTTAACTAGTGGAGTAGCCACCAGCTCCGGCGGGCTGGAGGAGATCGCCTTGGGAGGAGGCCCGGGCTTCAACAGTTTGTGGTTGCCGCCCTTCACATGCTTTGGCTAAGAATAAGGTTCACTTAGTGCTCAGGAGACTCGGGAGAATGGTGGCCACTTACGTAGGTGCACCTCCTCAGGGCACAAATGGCTGCTTCACAGGTTAAGTCATAGGCCTTCTGCAGCACAATTCGCTGAACAACATCGAGAACTATGGACATTTTGGATGGGCTGTATCACAACAAATTTGGACTATTGCTTACACGAAACCTGGCCTGTGACTGGCATGGGGCAGAGATTGACGCAAGACTCCCAACTAATCTTACAGGTTGTGTATATTTGTAAACGATCACCTAGTCTCCTACTCTAATCTACATAAATACGTCTATGGTCTATGTACATAAAGCTTTGCATAACGTTACGTGGGCAGCGGGGTGTGGGTTTCGTTCAGGCTGGCCAGGTAGGATTCAGTTGTGGTCTCGACGTCGTCATCTTTGATGGACTTGAGATCGCGTCCTATGCTCTCCATGTTCAGGTTCAAGCCAGCCGCCACAACGGCCGCCGCGTTGCTGTTAACTTCGTTCAACTTTGGATCCTTTAGGCAGTTTTCGTTCTCGCTGGAGGCCTCGCGCTTCATCCTCGCCAGCGGCTGCTCGGTCCCGTCTTCGGACTGCCCGCTTCGCAGGTTCAGAAGCTCCCTACGAATGGCCTCCACGTTGTCTTCAAGGTTGGGTTTCCTCCCCTCCGAATCGTTGCTCGCCTTTGGCTGGGTTGCATTCACCATCAGGGCAAGCGGGATTGGGAGTCGTTTGATGAGACTGGCCGTGTCCGCACTGGCGTTCTTGAGCAGCTCTCCGGTTTTGTAGGACAGTGGCTCGTAGACGCCGGCATGGGCTTCCTTCTCCTCACGCAAGTGAGTATTCTCCGTGAGTATATCGATTAGAGAAGCCCTAGGCCTGCGCTCTTCCACAGCCACAGGTTGTTCCTCTTTGAGTTTCACTTCAGGTTCCTTTGCCACGTCGGCAGCTTTGACTTCCTTTTCCAGAAGCTCATTGGTGGGTGCATTCTTTTGGTCCTCCAAACGGTCAATCTTCTTTTTATCCAAATCCTGGCCGAGAGGCACGTTGTTCTTGGCCAGCTCCTCCTTGAGCTCCACCACGGTCTTGGCCAGAAGCTTCTTGGTTTCCTTCAGTTCGTTCTGCGTCTTCAGCAGCTCATCGGCACTGCCCTTACTCTCCTTCTGCTCCTCGGCGGCCACCTCCTCCTCCTTCTTGATGGCAGCTCCATCAATCGTGTTGCTCGCCACCAGCAGACTGGATTCCTTCTTGAAGGCCTCCGTTGGAGCTGCCGCATCAGGTGGTGGAACGGCTTTCTGCTTCCCAGCAGACATGTTCACATCAACAGGTTTCGCATCCGGTACAGATTCCTGTGGCTCGACCGCAGGCTTCTTGGGCTCACTAGGAGCGTTATCACTTTCCATAGGAGCCGGGTGGACTTCATCAATGGGTAGGGGAGGCAACGGTGGGTTTTCGGATGGAATGGGCGGCATTGCCTTTGGCACATCAACTACCTTCTCCACGCCCGCATCCTTTACTAGCTCTGGATTCTGCACCTCCAGTTTTTTCAGCAATGGAATCTTTTCATTTTCCGAAGGTTCCTTGGCCAAATGTTTGGGTAGGTCTACCACAAGGCCTGGAACCTTGCCTTCCGGATACAGCGGCGTTACCAGCTGGACGACATCGAACTCTGGGCCCGAGCTCTTCTCGTCAATGGCAGTTAGATTGGCAAAAGTGCCCAGAATCATCAACAGAAATCCGCTCACGAACACAAACTGGGCCAGTGTGCGTTCCATCGACTCCTTCTTGATAATCTTCCGGAAACTGGAGGCCGGAAACATAATGCAGATGGCCACGCCGATGGTGGAGCCCACCAGTCCGATGATAAGCTCCACCGAGGGAATCACCAAAGCCACGCATAGCGAAAAAGTAACTATGAAGATTGTGATGAAGCGGAAGCGCTGCTCCGGAATATAACTACTGCTCTCCGAATGCCCCTGAAAGTATAAGCATTACGATAATTCCTAATCAGCGGAACTCCGGTTAAGGCACTCACTTTCCTGTACAGCAGCGAGTAGATACTGGCCCGGCAGGGGAAGATAACCAGGGGAAAGCTAAAGGCAATCGACAGCACAAATCCGATCTTTATGATATCGCTGCCGAATGAGTTGGACAGGTTCACCAGAATATTGCCTGCAAAAGCCAACCCAAAATAAAGTTTATTTACTTCGTAGGTTCAGATATAAATACCCGAAAATGTGTGTGTGCAGAAGGCCACATATCCGAAGAAACCCACGGCTATGTACACAAACGTACATATCCAAGTGGCATTGCGCACAATTCCGTTTAGCTTGTCGAGGCTCTGGTTGTTGATACTCTCGAAGACTTCGAACAGCTGCCTGGAAATTGGATAAATATTTAGTCAAATTTCGCGAACAAAGAGCCAGCAATTGGGCCAACGAGACACCCACATTTGGCAGGAGAGCGCCATGCTGAATATGGGCAGGCACTGGAGCACGCCCGCCGGCTCCCAGTAGCGAACCTTGTCCGTCCAGTCGTTGGCGGATATGTGCGCCTGGGCCTCCAGCACTATCTTGAGCATCAGGCACACGTAAAACCCAATGGAAGCAGTGCACACGGCGGACAAACTGTCCACGTTCCGGAGCATGCCCAACGGCAGGATGCAGACCACCGTCACCACAATCATAACCTGAAACTCATACATTATGTCCAAAGCCCTTTTGTTCAAAGATTAAGATGCTCACCAGGGTGCGCAGGTGCTGGTGCTCGCCCACGTTCAGGGTGAACATCTGGGAGATTATTTGGGGCCCCAGATCACCGACCACCACAAAGTACGTGATGCACGTACCGATCAGGTAGCCTATGATGCATAGCTCCACCAGCAGCTTGCCAGAGACGCCGAAAGCATGAAGGCCCAGCAGCTCGAAGCTCTTTCTACGTGTCAGAAGCGAGGTTTTTATCAGATAGTGGCAGCACACCCTGGTAATCCAGTTGCTGAGGATCAGCAGGACGATGGACAGTACTATGCCGCACTTCTGGAAGCAGAAAGGCATGGCCAGAATACCCACGCCAATAATGCTGTTGGCCAGCGTCATAACGTGGGCGGAGTGGGCCAACATCTTGGTCTAGTGCGTCACTTTCTCTCCTCTCCGGAAGTCCACAAACTGGTTTCGGTGGCTGATTGGTCTCCTTCTGCCGGGCCGCCGCGTATGCAAAAAGTAACTTAAAAGAAGCACGTCAGTCAGACAATGAGCTGGGTTTCCAATGCTGATAACCACCCACCTGTGACAATCAGATAACGATACTACGGAGCAAACCACGGACTCGCCACTTCAAAACTGAAGTCGAAAAGCTCTGCACTTGTGCAAGCAAAACAGTAAACAGTAACAAAATATTCCGGCGGCGACGACGGCGGCGGCGATGGAAGAGACGTTGGCGCTTACATTGAGTGGGCGGACTTTCTTCAGCAAACATTTGTTCCAAATACGTGGTCCGATGCGGAAAAGCGCATTTTTACGGCAGCAAGAAAGTTTTAAAACGAATTTCTCGTCATCATCAGTGCTGCCCGGTGGCAGTGAGCAGTGTTGCCAGTTCAGCCCCTTTCCGGCTGGTCCAGACAGTTCTGTCCGTTTCTTCTTATTGTTTGGAATATCCAGAAGATCCGGAAATCTGTATAGCTTTATGCTGAATCATATTTCTGATGTAAAAATAATGTAAATTTAAACTTTAATAAAGAAAACATTAGTATTTAAACACCTTTGAATTCCACAGCAACGGAAAGCGGAATGGAACGGTGGAATCTGGAGCATGGCGGTTTTTTTAAATTCTACTCAAATTTTATTTGAGGTTTTAAAAATTAAATATGAAAAGAGCGATTATAAGGAATGCTTATTTATTGGGGAAAGTGAATAAAATTATTACAAAATTCAATAAAAGTGCGAGAATCAGGGGCAAAATAATGTATTCAAAATATATCATATGCAGCCGGCAAGAACATCATGAGATGGGAAAAAATAAACATCGTATTTTCGATAAGTTATCGGTTATCGATATACTGATAAGTTAGTATATCATCAACAATCCCATATTCCATCTCTAGTTTTTAACACGAGCAGACGTGCCCTCGCGCACATTCTGCGGAAAATATATTCTAGTTAATGTGCAGAAAATACTGTGAAATTTGCAGATTCACGAGTGCGGCATCATTTGCGCAACGCATCCGCACATTTTTCACTTCCGGATGCCTGGCAGAGATGTGGATATTTTGTGATTAAAATTCCCCCCGTCTGAGGTACGCAAGAAAATTTGTGAAAAAAATGTCTGCCCGCGGTATAAAATCGACGCGCACACCAACACATCCAAGCGACGCCGCCATGTATAGTTGTCTCTTTCCCGCTAACGTAGTTTGCTAATATGTGAAAAGTGCTTATTTTAAGCGTTAAAATACGAAAAATATATTAAATTCTGGGAATTTCGAAAAGTTTTCACATTTTGCGTCAGATAATTGGCGTATAATTTTGACTGTTCCTTGTGTGTGTATGCGGCAGTTGCTCAAAATGAAGTCGCGCAGGGTTGCATTTTAATCGAGTTTTCGGGGTGCGGAGTGGAAATATAGTATGATAAGCTTTTTTGTGTTAAGATGACTTGGTTCCTTGCTTCGCTTTTATTCGCTGTTCTGATAATTGATATTACGCAGCATTATTTAGAACTATAGCTGTGTGCGAGGTAGAGCGGTTGCGGTTCGAAAGTCTGACCAGGGATGGAGTGGTGCCCATGTGCTTTCCCGGCTAGTTTCATTCTCCCGCCAACCGTCCGTTCGAAGGTACACTTATCGGTGATAAAGAATCTATGACACTTGTGGGCTATCAAGTACTACCTATTATTAAGAGTCAGCTAGTGATCACAATGCATATATCCACCAACTCAATGTTATTATTTTGTTTCCACAGATGTCTCAAACATGAATGAAGGTAATTCAGCAGGAGGGGGGCATGCAGGGCTCAGCCCGGCCCCTCCTGCTGTGCCAGACCGCGTAACTTCATACTCAACGGAAAAATCGGTTGGAACTCCCAAACATACAACTACTGGGCCGACTACAAGTGGCAGCAGAACCGCACTAGCCTCGCCGGCTTCCCGCCATCACCACCACCATCCGACGCAGGGAAAAGGAATCGCCAGCAAACAACAGCAGGCCAACCAACAGCAGAAGCCCCAGCTGCCCAGTGCGCAGCTGCCTGTGCCGCTGTCGCCTTTGCCGCTACATCAGCAAACGACAGAGGCAACGGCAGCCACGCCAGCGGCAGAGACTCCCGCCCAAACACCCACCACCTCCTCCAGTAGCACGAGCACCATAGAATCCTCCGTTTCGCCGCCGCAGGCCAAGCGTCAGCGTTTGGACAACGAGCCGACGAGCCTGGGGAGTAGCATTGTTGGCACCGCCAGTAGCAATATCGTTGGTTCCTTGCTGCCGGCGTCGGTGGCTGCCAGTAACGAGGTTGGCGGAGTTTCGTCAACGGCCCTCCAGGACCTGAATGCGCTCAAGAAGCGCATACTTCAGCAGAAGTTGCAGATCTTGCGTAACCTTAAGGAGAGGTGGGTCGAATGAGTTAGTCCTGAGTGAACAGTAAACTAATTGTTACTTTCTTGAGCAGGCATCTTGAAAATGTGTCCGAATACTTTTATTTGCAAAACGGAGGCAGTATGATGGAGTACCCTGCGTGGCGGAAGAAGACACCAACCCCGCAGTTCATTAGCTACAGCAATGCGAACCGTATAGACCAGCTGGTACACGAGAATAAGCCGAGCACATCGGCACAAGCAGCAGCGGCGGCCCAAAACCAGGTCCAAAGAACTACCACCCAGCCAGTGGCTTCGGCAGACGCCACAAATGCAGAAAACACTACTTCTCCACTGGATGGCACACCAAAAACGGTTAGAATAATTAGACTAGTGCCTAGTTGGATAAGCCAAATGATGTTACAATCATACTGAGTGCCGCTATCGGTCTATTTTTGACTGATTCTGGCGTATATAAGGGATGTTCGCAGCTGCGAGGCATTTGTCTGATGGAAGGCATAAAATAGTTGAATAGTTTCTTCTATTTGGGTGATACTGATTAGTTTCTTTGTTTCCCTGCAGAATACGCAATCTCAAGTGCCAAGCAAGATTGGCACTGCACCCGCAACATCCGCAGCGGCAAACAACTCTCCTAGAAGCAACAGCTCCGCTTCAGCAGCCACCACAGGGGCCAGTTCGGTCGAGGGGAGCAGCAATGTGCTGCCACCAGAGGCGGAGATCAAGATTCCAGCCGTTGGAGCCACACCAGTGGCCATTTCGACGAAACTACCCGCCGCCGTTGTCCAGCTCACGCAGCAAGGTGAATTCGCCGTCAATGTCGCATCTAGATACTACCTCCCTATATATTTCTCATTGTTAAACGATATTTTGTGTTTCTGTTGTGTTCGTTTCAACCAAAAGAGATTATGTTTCGTTTCAAACTTGTGTTTGTCCAAAACAAAATTCAAGCCAAAATTCCAATTACAAAATCAATGCCAAACTCTAGCCAACAAACTCAACAGCTCTCCCGTAACTCCGATATTACAAACTGCGCCAACTGCCAATGCACGATCTGCACTAACTGAATCCGACTGTGCATTACTAATTAAAAAAAAAAAGAAACAAGAACTAACCACCAGAAACCACCAGACACTAGAACACACTGCATAACCACATAACCAACTACACCGTATTGCTCTTTATTTTAACATTTTATGATTAATCCTCTTACTTTCGTTCCCGCATTACTGCTGCCTACATTGTCCTTAATCGCACACACTCTCAACTCACCATAATTGTATCGTTATCGTTATACTATAGGTCACATACCCGGTAGACCTTTAGGAGGTCGTCACGGTATGGTCTTCGGTCAAATACCCGCTCCTCCTGCTGCCGTAGGAAATCCTTCCGTACCTTTGGTGCCAGGTGCTTATCGTTCGCAAAACAACAAAAAAAAAAAAACCAAATATCCAAAATCTTTCACTGCTTTTCTTTTCTTTTGATTTCCAATCGTATATTAAACCAGTTTGTGTGTTAAGCATATTATTATTTGCCACGAACGTAGTGCATTGATGTTCAAAATTTGATTATTTTTAATATTTTCATAGAATTGGTGTTACTGCCTTAGTTTTGATTGGTACTCGTACTTATACTTCTACTTCTGCTTAAGATTTTGATTTCCTTTGAATTGAAACTGATATTGACGAATGTGTACTTTGATTATTGCGTTGATTTGTAAGCAGTTTAGCAACTAGTTACCGCGTCCACGGGGGTCCCTTCCACACCACACCACCATTCTCTCATCTTCCTCCTGCACCTAAAAGCGTTTTCTTGCCAGCCCGTTAACTGCTCTTGAAAATCGTAGATGTGTGCCAGAGCAACCTCCGCAACAGCAAGTGATCTGGGTGCCCCCGTAACTCTTATCCGTTGACGTTGTGAACAACCGTATCTGTAAGAATGTAAGAATATAGGCAAACGCACTCTGTGTCACACAGACAGCCACTTGTGAATACAATTTGTAAGTTTGCCAGATCAAGGGGATGCGTCTTATCCATGTGGTCGAGGCCCCCTCAGGGCGACTGCATTGAAAACCCATCTTACATCACTAGTACTAGTATCTGAAAGCGGTATTCCGCTTGTCCCTGGGGTGGAAGCAGTCCAGAGCCCTGGCTCCACACTAACATTAAGACTGATATTGCATGCCTCTCCCATAGTCTTTCGTTCACCAACCGATTCGCAACCGATTCTCGTTCTGATTGTATTCCATTCATTCCTAATGCTTCTCTGCTAGTTACTCCTACTTGATGCATTCTTCAGCATGCCAAAGTTGAATCTTTTTCGAATGCCTTCTCCGTGAATTTCAAACACTAATCTGACGTTCTTGACTTCTCTTCGAAGGTGGCACTCCTCTGGTGCCCTGCGGTCCATCAGTGCGACGCGTTCCAGGTAATGTCCAGGCTGGAGGAGCATCCGGGTCTGCCGGGGGAGGAGCTGGCACACCCACTCCCATCTACACGGGTAATGGCCTGGCCACCCTTACTCCGGGAACACCAACCCCCGGCAGTCTGCTCAGCCCGGCGGCTGGGGCCGGCACTCCGAGCTCGCAAAGCGCCACTCAGGAGTTCTCGTTCAAGGCCAAGCAGGAGGTGTATGTGATGCAGCGCATATCGGAGCTCCAGAGAGAGGGATTATGGACTGAGCGGCGCCTACCCAAGCTGCAGGAGCCCAGCCGCCCGAAGGCGCACTGGGACTATCTTCTGGAAGAGATGGTCTGGCTGGCGGCCGACTTTGCCCAGGAGCGCAAGTGGAAGAAGAACGCCGCCAAGAAGTGCGCCAAGATGGTGCAAAAGTACTTCCAGGACAAAGCCACAGCCGCCCAGAGGGCGGAGAAAGCGCAGGAGGTGCACCTGAAGCGAGTAGCCTCCTTCATCTCGAAGGAAGTGAAGAGCTTCTGGTCGAACGTGGAGAAGCTGGTGGAGTACAAGCACCAGACGAAGATCGAGGAGAAGCGCAAGCAGGCGCTGGACCAGCACCTCAGCTTCATTGTCGACCAGACCGAGAAGTTCTCCCAACAGCTGGCCGAGGGCATGAACAAGAGCGTGGCAGACACGCCCAGTCTGAACTCCAGTCGCCTAACATCCCCGAAGAGGGACTCAGATGGTGAGTTACTGATCCCCATCCGATCCTACCCAGATCCTATTCCCGTGCACTTGATGATAGAATCCACACTGATACGTTGTTGTGGTCTATTTTTGAACACTTCGATGTTACCTTAGGATGGTCGCATTTGCGAGGCATTTGCCTGATGCTCCCTCCTCCAGTTCCTCAAGGTCTTCCAGTCTAGAAACCATTCTTAAGCCCCTTTGTTCCTTTGCAGATGAGTTCCGGCCAGAGTCCGGGTCGGAAGATGACGAGGAGACCATTGCCAAGGCCGAGGAGGAGGCGGCCGACGTGAAGGAGGAGGTCAAGGCCCTGGCGAAGGAGTCAGAGATGGACTTTGACGACTTCCTCAACGACCTGCCTCCCGGCTACCTGGAGAATCGTGATAAGCTGATGAAGGAGGAGCAGAGTGCATCCATAAAGACGGAGACCCCTGACGAGAGCGACGACAGTGAGTTCGAGGCGAAGGAGGCCAGTGACGACGACGAGAACACGATCAGCAAGCAGGAGGAGGCCGAGCAGGAGATCGACCACAAGAAGGAGATCGACGAGCTCGAGGCGGACAACGACCTGTCGGTGGAGCAGCTGCTGGAGAAGTACAAGTCGGGCAGAATCAGTGATCGGCCGCCCAGCGCCAAGCGAAGGAAGCTGGCCGAGATCGATTCGGACGACGATTCCACGGCAGTGGAGGACTCCACGGACGAGAGCGAAGTGGAGGCCACCGACGAGGAGGAGGATGAGGATCTCTCCACCATCAGAACGGACACGGACGTGGAGGAGACCGAGGAGAAGGAAGGCGGCCTCAAGAGTCTGCTGACTGATGCCGATGGATCATCTCCTGGCGACCAAAAGACGGGAAGCAGTGCCAACAAGGACGACATGCTCAACGACGCCGCCGCCCTGGCCGAGAGCCTCCAGCCCAAGGGCAACACTCTCTCCTCCACGAACGTGGTCACTCCTGTGCCGTTCCTGCTGAAGCACTCGCTGCGGGAGTACCAGCACATCGGCCTCGACTGGCTGGTGACGATGAACGAGCGGAAGCTGAACGGAATCCTGGCCGACGAGATGGGTCTGGGGAAAACCATCCAGACGATTGCCCTGCTGGCCCACCTCGCCTGCGCCAAGGGCAACTGGGGACCGCATCTCATCGTGGTGCCCTCGTCCGTGATGCTCAACTGGGAGATGGAGTTCAAGAAGTGGTGCCCCGGCTTCAAGATTCTCACCTACTACGGCTCGCAGAAGGAGCGCAAGCTGAAGCGCGTCGGCTGGACCAAGCCGAACGCCTTCCACGTCTGTATAACCTCCTACAAGCTGGTGGTCCAGGACCAGCAGAGCTTCCGCCGCAAGAAGTGGAAGTATCTGATCCTGGACGAGGCGCAGAACATCAAGAACTTCAAGTCGCAGCGATGGCAGCTGCTCCTCAACTTCTCCACAGAGAGGTAAGTAATCCCCGCGAGATTCGCCATCCATATGCCCGCCTGAAACCAGCACCAAAATCAGTAACCATGCGACTGCTAACCTAGTATGGCGACTACGCTTGGGTGCTGAAATTAAAATCGCTATAATGCCGCATACTAAACCAGAGCACGATAACTCAGCCCTAGAATGCTTGTGGCCTTGTTCCGAGACAAGTACTCCCCCTCCCACGATCGAATCATTCAAATATTTCTCTCTCCCCAGGCGCTTGCTGCTGACCGGCACTCCCCTGCAGAACGACCTGATGGAGCTCTGGTCTCTCATGCACTTCCTCATGCCGTACGTATTCTCGTCCCACCGCGAGTTCAAGGAGTGGTTCTCCAACCCCATGACGGGGATGATCGAGGGCAACATGGAGTACAACGAGACGTTGATAGCGCGACTGCACAAGGTGAGCATTGACTTCCTACCGTCCCGAAACTAATCGCCTTCCCAGCACCTAAAAGCGTTTTCTTGCCAGCCCGTTAACTGCTCTTGAAAATCGTAGCTGTGTGCCAGAGCAAGCTTCCCAACTGCAAAGGATTTGGGTTCTCCAATAACTTTAATCCGTTTATGTTGTGAATAGTTGACTAACTAGTATGGATACTCTGGTAGAGGCAGATGCACTCTGTGTCACACAGACAGCCACTTGTGATTACAATTTGTTAGTTTGCCAGATCAAGGGGATGCGTCTTATCCATGTAGTCTTATCCCTCTAAGGGTGATTGCATTGAAAACGAATCTAACATAGTTTCCATTGATTAGGGACACAGGTGTCCACTTATCGAAGATGGATGTCAAGGATTGAGAAGTAACTACCAGCACCTAAAAGCGTTTTCTTGCCAGCCCGTTAACTGCTCTTGAAAATCGTAGATGTGTGCCAGAGCAAGCTTCCCAACTGCAAAGGATTTGGGTTCTCCAATAACTTTAATCCGTTTATGTTGTGAATAGTTGACTAACTAGTATGGATACTCTGGTAGAGGCAGATGCACTCTGTGTCACACAGACAGCCACTTGTGATTACAATTTGTTAGTTTGCCAGATCAAGGGGATGCGTCTTATCCATGTAGTCTTATCCCTCCAAGGGTGATTGCATTGAAAACGAATCTTACATAGTCGTAACTCATTAGGAATTCTTCGAAATATCCATCAGCACCTAAAAGCGTTTTCTCGCAAGCCTGTTAAATGCTCTTGAAAATCGTAGATGTGTGCCAGAGCAACCTCCGCAACAGCAAGCGACTCGAGTTTCTGTAGCTCTTGTCCGTTTACGTTGCGGACAATAGAACTTTAAGAACAAAGAACCATTAAGTGGGAAAGGCAAATGCACTCTGTGTCACATCGATCCAACCTCGAGTGAATACAATTTGTTAGTTTGCCAGATCAAGGGGATGTGCTTATCCATGTGGCCAGCCCCCTCAGGGCGACTGCATTGAAGACACGTCTTACAAAGGTTTCTCGAGGCAAAGGCAGCCTGTGTCACACTCTGCCCCAAGTGATGACACTGTTTTAGTTTGCCAGATCGATGAGGTGCGTCTATCCATGTGGTCTTGCCCTAGCCTATAGATTACATTGAATTAGCATCAGACATTACCACAACCTCTCCTTTATCCTTGCAGGTGATTCGTCCTTTCCTGCTGCGTCGCCTCAAGAAGGAGGTGGAGAAACAGATGCCAAAGAAGTACGAGCACGTGGTCATGTGTCGGCTGTCGAACCGCCAGCGGTATCTCTACGAGGACTTCATGAGTCGATCCAAGTAAGTAGGAAGAGGTTGCTAAACTAGCAGAGCTGAGTAACTGGAACCTTATTCGTTCTACAGAACCCGGGAAACCCTGCAAACCGGCAACTTGCTGAGTGTTATCAACGTGTTGATGCAGCTGCGCAAGGTGTGCAACCACCCGAACATGTTCGAGGTGCGCCCCACCATCTCGCCGTTCCAAATGGAGGGCATTACATTCCACACGCCCCGCCTGGTCTGCGACTTAATGGAGTATGATCCGTTCACGGTGAGTCTAGTGAGGCTTCTGTGGGCTCGAGGCTGCCTTCTGTCCGAAACTGATGACAACCTGTCACTGATAGTTGGGCCCAATCTATTTTGGAGCGGGTCGTAAACTTTTCCCAGGATGTTCGCTTTTGCGAGGCATTTGTCTGATTCTTTTTGAAAAATACATTCTTTTTGGATGAAATCTAGAGGAGAGTTGATAATTTTGGTTTTCCTTGCAGCAAGTCAACCTGGAGACGGTGAACCTGCTGCTACTGCATCTGGAGCAGACCATGACCGCCTACGTCTCCCACAAGTCCCGCCAACTAGCTGCGCCGCGCAAGCTCATAGAGGAGATCGACACAGCGCCACAGGCTGCTCCCCGGTGTCCGAATGGGAAGTACCGCTTCCACATCCGGGTGCGCAGCGCCGAACTGGCGCAGAGAATCAAGCTCAATGCAGTGCGAGTAGGCGCCAGCCCGGCGATGCGGATGGAGGGCTCCAAGGTGGTGCCCGTGCGCAACCTGCTGCCCAGCGGCAGAGTTCTGAAGCGAGTTAGCGCCTCCATCAACCCCGTGAACATGGCCCTCAAGCCGGTGGTGATCAACAGCGTGGTGTCGACGCCATCGCCCACTGCCACCTCGCCTGCCGGGGCGTTGAATGTGCTGGGCAGCTCGAAGCTACTGGGGGCTCGTCCTCAGATGAATGCCCCCACGCCTGCCAAGGTGGCCAAGACGATGCAAGATGGGAAGCCGTTCTTCTACCTCACTCCCGCCACGAACTCTGGGGCGTCTGGTGCCCGCTTGACGCTGACTAGCAAAACCACAGCGGTGCCCGCAACGACCTCCTCGCCGACTTCCGGGTCGACGGTGGTCGCCGGGCCAGCCACAGCGCAGCAATTGATCCGCGACCCCATTGTCAAGGATCTGGCCTTGCACGTGAAGAGCACGGCCCAGAAGAAGAGCATCGCCAACGGGAAAACAGAGCCCGAAGAGGACGAAACCGAGGCAGAAGACCCCTACAAGGTGCAGGAGCTGATACAGATGCGCAAGGAGCAGCGCCTGGCCACGCTCAAGCGGATGGCCGCGATCAACCGGCGGCGCACTGATGCCACGCCCATCTACGGCGAGGACTGCCGCGGTGCCATCGAGCTCTGCATGCAGGCCACGCGATCGCTTCGGAGGTCCACCTGGCAGACGCGAGGGCACGCCAACTGCAAGACGGCCATGCTGCACCGCGACGGCTGGTCGCTGAACCACCTGCTGAAGAGCTTCGAGCAGCGGTGCACGGATCTCAAGCCCCTGTTCGCCAACTTTGTGATCTACGTGCCGTCGGTGTGCGCTCCGCGAATCCGCTGCTATGTCCAGAACCTCTCCTCGACACGGCGGCAGTGCGAGGTGGAAATCGAGGAGAGAGTGGGCCGGGAGGTGCTGCCCAAGCTGGCGCTGCTCCACCCCATTATCTCGGCGATGACCACCCAGTTCCCGGATCCCCGCCTCATCCAGTACGATTGTGGCAAGCTGCAGACACTGGATCGGCTGCTCAGGCAGCTGAAGGCCGATGGACACCGGGTGCTGATCTTCACCCAGATGACCAAGATGCTGGACGTGCTGGAGGCCTTCCTCAACTACCACGGCCACATCTACCTGCGACTGGATGGGTCCACCCGTGTGGAGCAGCGCCAGATGCATATGGAGCGCTTCAACGGCGACAAGCGCATCTTCTGCTTCATACTCTCCACCCGGTCTGGCGGCGTGGGCATCAACCTGACGGGAGCCGACACCGTGATCTTCTACGATTCGGACTGGAACCCCACGATGGATGCTCAGGCCCAGGATCGTTGCCATCGCATCGGACAGACTCGGGACGTCCACATCTACCGGCTGGTCTCCGAGAAGACGATCGAGGTGAACATCCTGAAGAAGGCCAACCAGAAGCGCATGCTCAGCGACATGGCCATCGAGGGGGGCAACTTCACGACCTCGTTCTTCAAGAGCTCCACCATCAAGGATCTGTTCACGATGGACCAGAGCGAGCAGGACGAGGCGAGTCAGGAGAAGCCGGAGGACAAGGACAAGATCACCACAACGACAACCACCTCGACTGAGACCCCAATGGTGGTGGAGTCTGAGAAGCAGTCGCTGCGCGCCTTCGAGCACGCACTGGCCGCCGCCGAGGACGAGCAGGACGTCCAGGCCACCAAGACGGCCAAGGCCGAGGTGGCGGCCGACCTGGCGGAGTTCGACGAGAACATTCCCATAGCCGCGGACGACAACGCGGAAGGCGGAGTCGGAGGTCAGGTGGAGCTCAGCAAGGCCGACCTGGAAATGCAGAATCTGGTCAAGCAGGTGAGAGACTATTTCTTGCAGGGATTCCGGGTCTGGCAGCATTCGCTACTTTGTTGAAACGTGTTCCTATACTGCTTCGATGAGCGAGCGCTGCCAAGATTGAATAGACTTTCAGACATAGTTGAGGCGAGCCAACCCACGCCACGATTGTATCACTCACTGTCTAACATTGCTCTGTTCTCCTGAGACTACGAGCTTGGTACTAACGCCTTCCTTCTCCTTGCAGCTCTCGCCGATCGAGCGCTATGCGATGCGCTTTGTGGAAGCCACCGGAGCTGCCTGGACGGCGGAGCAACTTCGCGCGGCCGAGGCCGAGCTGGAGGCCCAGAAACGGGAGTGGGAGGCCAACCGACTGGCGGCCATGCACAAGGAGGAGGAGCTGCTCAAGCAGGAGACGGAGGCCGAGGAGCTTCTCACCTACAGTCGCAAGGACTCCAGCAAGCAGGTTAATAGCAAAAAAGATTCCTCCACTTCCCATAAGCAACCACGCGTGCGGGTAATGCGCAGCAACTCAAGTCAGAAGATTAACAGGAGTATTAGTAGTAGTCATAGCAGTAGCCAGGGTAACAGCAGGAAGAGATTGGTGCGCGGAACGCGCCAGAACAGCCTTAATTCGAGTGCACCGGCAGGGGCGGGAACTGAAACGGGGGCGGGGGTTAGTAGCAGCAGGAGACGCAGTAGTAGCGGCAAGAAGCCGGCGGCGGATGCCACTCCGCTGGTCAGGCGGCAGACGAGACTCCACTCGCTGGGTGTGGTTTCCACTCCGCCCACTAGAAAGACGACACGCACAGCTCTGGCTGCCGCTCAGAGTGCCACCTTAGATGAGGCCGCTGGCGTGGCCAGTGAGGAGCGCCCCAAGCGGCAGTCCGCCAACATTGCCATGAGCAAGATGCTGAAGACGCCGATCAAGCCCATCGCCACCACTCCTAGCAGTGTGACTGCAAAGACCACCCCTCCGAAGCGTGGACGAAGGGACAGTGTATCCGTCTCGGCCACTCGCAGCAAGCTGCTTGCCAGGCGCGCCACCATTGCGGCTCCTTTGGCCACCAAGGCTAAGGACGAAGAAAGCGAGGCAGACGAAGATGAAGAGGAGCAGGAGGAGGTGGAGGATGAGCAGATGGAGGTAGCAGAGGACTCTGAGGACGAGGCAGCCGATGTCACCGTTGACGAAGATGATGGCGAGGAGGAACAAGAGGAGGACGAGGCTGCTGGTTCAAATCTTGAAGAGGAGACTCCAACGGAATCACAAACAAACGAAGATGAAGATGAGGAAGAGGTGGAAGAAGAGGAGGAAGGAGTGGATGTGGCCACCGAAGACTCTGACGACGATGCGGATGCCAAAACGGCTTCCAGCTACGCCACCGCTGGCGAAGGAGAGGATAACGGAGGCGAAGAAGCCGAGTCAGCCAGCTTGGACGGCTGGAATGCACACGACCAGGTGCAGGACACTACGATGACCACCTCCACTTACTACAATGTGAGCGAGGAGTCTGATACGGACGAGCACAAGGAGGAGGGCAAGGAGCAAGCCCAGCAGTCGGACAAGAGCGAGGAAACCGAAGCCGTGGGCCACACACCCCGAACTCGCTCTCGGGGCTCTGTGAAGATCAACCTGTGGACCCTGGACATGAGTCCGGTTCTGAACAACGTGGGCCGGAGTGGCGCCAGCCGGAGCGCCAAGAAGAGCACGCCCAAGGAGTCTCAGAGCGAGCCGAGGCCGAAAGCGGTCAGGCGAACGGTGGCCAAGAAGGATGTGCTCAACAAGTCCACCGGCAAGGTGAACACCCTGCACGGGTGGATCACCAAGTCGCCCAGGGTGCTGCTACGGTCCACGCCCTGCAACAATTCGAATACCACGCCCACGACACCCTCCGCGGGCACCGCCACCCTCTCCTCGAGCGGATCCACTAGGTGATGATGACCTTCAACTCGCTCTCCTCGCTCCTGGGCCTGTCCGTCAGTATTATCAGCTGTGCGTGCCGTGCTCGTTTTGGTGGGTGAAGAGTCCTGCCCCGTTACTGCTGCCCTCCCGATCCGGGATTATCCGACAACACTGATTCAGAACGAGTATTTATAGACTGTAACGAGTTTCCTTCTATCATATGTGTTAAGTTAGTTAGGCGGCGGAACCAATGCGGGGGAGTAGGCTACGGAAGAACCTAGATTAAGCTAAAGCCGATTGAACAGAGGATATAGCGTAGGGAGTAGGTTAGGCGCCCGGGAGTTCTCAACTCCGGGCATTAGTCGTGTAAGATATCTCAGTTT